TGAAAGAAAAATAAGAATCCCGTTGATAACGTTTGTACAGTTTTTATTTAAAGAATTGATCGAAAGGTAAAAGTTTACAGTTGATCACTTTCTTGCTGAAAAAGTTTCTATTAACACCAACTGTACCATTATTTGACGCGCTGAAAATAATTTTGGGGCACCAAAGAGTCCCGGAAAGTGGTAGAATTTCTAAAATAATAACAAAAAAAAACATTGAAAGACATAAAACAATGCTTGACTACATATCGCAACACAAGCAGCTCGGAAATTTAAGTGCACCAAGTATACATCAGCAAAACATTAAAAATAAAGTCATTAATCAGGCCAAAGAATAATAAGAAGATTCCATTAAGAATTTGTGACCAAATAGAGACAGATTAGAACGAACTGTGATTGGCTGTATTGAATTTCCGCCAATTAATTGTTAATCCTTGACGACGAGTCGTACTTTAACCATTCTTCGATTAATGGAAATGATATTTATTAATCAAAAGATGTTTCTTAAACACCAACAATTGTCAAATTAAACACTACTTCAAAATATGAAAAGAAATTACTCGTTTGAGTTTTCTTTTCCGGTAAAGGAATATCTTCGCCAATATTTAGAGAAAGCTGCTTTTCAATCAAGCAAGAAGTCTACAAAAATGGTTGTATCAAGAATAAACTAGTTCCATTTATCAAAAAGCATCATTCTGATAGTGAATATAAAGTTTGGCCTGATCTGGCATCTTGCATTACGCAAAATCTGTTCAAAACTATATGAATGAGAAAAATATCATTTTTGTCAAAAAATGAACTATATGAATGTCGTCCGATTGAAGATTTTTGGAGTTTTCTCAAAGGAAAAGTGTGAATAATTGGAATATTGATAATCTCAAGAAATTGTACAATAGAATTAATTATTGCCTTTCTAAAATGGAAAAATCTCTTTTCTGAGTCAATACGGCGCCGTTTAGATTACGTAAGACGCAATGGTTTTTTTTTATTGTTTTTTTTATTTTACTTCACCTCCTCAAGGCCGAGAAGGCCACTACAGACGAGGAGGCTACTTATTTTTTGGCTATAACCCTCTCTCAACTCTATAACTCCGAAACACGAACCTTGACGAACAAGGCCGCTGCGCGGAGAAACGAGTTGAGCGCGGTACTACCAGGGACGTGGTGGGGATCAAACTCGGAACCACTCGTTTATGAAGCGAGCGCTCTACCACTACACCACTACCGCTTGATTAAAAAAAATTACGGAGTGTCAGTTCGCACTACCACTGTCAGAGCGCTCTACCACTACACCACTACGGTTTGATTGAAAAAAATTACGGAGTGTCAGTTCGCACGTTTTTTACGTGCGAACTGACACGGACTTTTGAAGGATAAGCGCACCGTAGTGTAAATACATATTGACTGCTTATCTAGGGATAGGCACAGTGTAGTATAAATACAACGACGAGGGTTTTGGCTTGGGCAGGCAATCTTTTAATTAAAAAAAGAAGTATTTCCTAATGTTTCTTTTATCTATTGGCACGTTTTTGTTTTTTGAATAAAAATTTAATTATGTGTAACTAATTTTATTATAATTGATTAAAAATATTAAATTGTTTTCAAAATATATGACTTAAGTTATAAACGTTCTTTGTTTCATATCAAAAATCTAACTTGAATTTTTTTTTTTAAACGTGCAAATAAACTATAGTAAGATATAGTCTATTCACACGCGCGTGCGAATAGACTTATCCAAAAAATTAATATTCAAATAAATTGCCCACTTAAAATACTATTTTTTCTTTTTTAAATTAAGTTTTTATCTCATGTACCAAAGGAGTTATGCCCCTTCAAAGTTATTACCGTTTTTTAATTATAACCCGTTAAAGTTAAAAAGTTAACTACAATTTATTAGGGTTGTTCGCCGAAAAACAAAACTTGCGAAAATTTCGCATCTTTATCTACCGTAATAGAATTGTTATTGCGGAAGTTGCACATGCAAAAATGCACATTCCGTAACGCGCTATACGAAAATATAAATAGTAAATAAAATTCCGTAATAAAGCATTGCGAAAGAAAACTTGCGAAACAAATCATTTCGTAAGAATACTTACGAAATAGCATTCCGGAATGTGTAGTTACGAAAAAGACGCAAAAGATTTTATGTTACGATATATTTAAGATATTAACTGTTAACAGTTTAAATAATAAATAATAAAATTATAAAAAAATGTTGTCAAATGATTCTTCAAATGTTTATACAAATATACCTAATATATATATATATATATATATATATATATATATATATATATATATATATATATATATATATATATATATATATATATATATATATATATATATATATATATATATATATATATTTATATATTATATATATATATATATATATATATATATATATATATATATATATATATATATATATTATATATATATATATATATATATATATATATATATATATATATATATATATATATATATATATATATGTATATTTATATATATATATATATATATATATATATATATATATATATATATATATATATATATATATATATATATATATATATATATATATATGTATATATATATATATACAGTAAAATCCCGTTAAGTTGGACTTTCAATGAACAGATAAACAGTATGCCTTTCTTTTTAAAAAGTATAAAGAGGATGTGTGATAAACAATTAAATACTTTATTATAAAGAACGAGAGATCTCTCTAAAGGTAAATGATATCAGAAAGAGTAAAAAGAGAAGAAATATATGTGAAACAGCGGGATGTGAACCTGGGTCTACGCGGCCAAATGTCTTAACTGAATGAGCTATACGTTCATTCAACTAAGTGAAAAGTAATATTTATTTAATATATAATTAAGAAACTATATAAAACAGAATTTACAGAAAGAGATACGTATGCAAATAGAATTCTATATATCAGGAAAATGAATAGTAATGTGAACCTTTAGATGCTTATAATTAATATCTGGACTCAAAAACTAGTTACTTTTAATGGAACACAATAGGCTGTAGGAGCCTCAGGGAAATTATATTCAGAAATGGTTATATTAGACTCAGAGTTAGCTAGAAATTATTACAAAGTATTTAGAACAGATGTCTAGTACAAAAAGCAAAAGATTTAAAGCAAAATGATTTATATTATTTGAAAAAGTTGTTTTACGTACATTTCATCATAATTTAAGTAGAACTTAGTAAAGCAAGGGAAACATGTTGAATTAAGCACAATGAACTCAATCTTAAAAGAATAACTAACAGAAGAGAGGTTGTCACTATTGTGAAGGTGACGAAAGATCTGTAATATAGAACATGGAGGTCAAAAAATGCTATCTTAAGTAAAAAGAGTTTGATGAACAAAAGTTACAATGGCTGCGGGATGCAAACCCGGATCTCTGCGGCGAATTATCACGTATCTAACTGATTGAACTATACAATCTTATTAAAATTAAAAAACAATATTTTCTAAGATCTATACTTCGAAAAGCGTATTCAAACAGGACTCTAAATACCTTTAAAATCTGCTAGAACTTTAGTAACGTGCACACTTTTAGAAATTATTGAAATAGGTATATTTTATCAGAAATATGCTTAAGCTAAAGCATGTTTTTGAGCCTCTTTTTACTACTTGCTTAAGCATATTCGAACCTGTTTCAAAAATTTCATATGCTTTAAAAAAAAAACATGTATATTCCTACCCATCATTCTTATTTTTAATATTCGTAATGAGTTCAAAAAACATCGTTGTATATATTTATTATGGCACGTTTCGTAAGTTTATTTCCGTTAAGAATTCTTTCGTATGTTGTGATCCGAAATACTTTCGTTTCGAAAGAAATTTTATTTTTTATCAATATTTCTAAAAATAAAACCATAAAAATTTAATAGTTATTATACTGAAAATAAAAATTCATTATAAACATTTTGGGATTTAAAGATGTTAATTTTTAAAATTAAAATCAGTCTGGGAAACAAGTTTTCTTTATAGACTTCAAAACGTCGTTTGGGGAAAATGTTTGTTTCGCAAGTGCGACTTCCGAAACCGCTACTTGCGTATGTTGCAAAATAGTTTTGTTTCGTATGTCAACTTGCGAAATGCTCAATTTCGGAAGTGGCTTTTGCGAAATGAACATCGGCGATTTTAAATGTTTTGTAACATTCGGTACGAAAAAATGTAATTCCGTGTTCTCAATCTCCTTACGAAAGAATGTTGTTTTTCCGGAATTGCACGAAATCCTCCGGTTAACAACCCTACAATTTATATAAGTTTTAAAACATAAGTAAAATGAAATTACGTTAACTAAATCAAAGAAACTACTAGACAAGATCTAAAAGTTTAATATACGTTTACATAGACTAAATCTAAACGCTTTATATACGTTAATTAGACTAGATTTAAACGTAAATTAGACAAAATCTAAACACTTTATATACGTATAATAATCCTATAATAGACATCTAATATACGTTTGAATATAGACGTTTTACGGACGTTTGTTCTAAACGTTAATCTGGATTTCATTTTAAATGGATAATCGATCAAATCTGACGTTTTGTGAAAACGTTGTTTTGACGTTTAATAGACATTTATGTGTTTACTGGGTTTAGCCGTCCAGTTTTTTATTTTTGAAACTTACCTTATTTCTATATTTATAGCTTACTGTTTTACAGTCTTATTCAATTTATCATTTAAATTTGTAATAGCTTTAACAGTCTTGTGCGTCATGAGTTTATTCCACACACAAAAAATTAAAATTAGAGGAAATTATGATGGAGGAAGTTTTAAGATAAGTTATCAGGTTGTTAATACCTTAAATCCAAATAGTATAGAAAATATTTCCTGTTTTCTCCCTAAAATATCGTTCAATAAATGTACACTCGCATTGTTTATTTCTAAATGATTCAGTCGATAAATGACGACATAGTTACATTTAAAATTAAAAAAAAAAAAAGGCAAAAAAAAACATTTATCAACAAAAATATCTGTTTATACAGACACAGTGCCACATGAAACATTGTGTTTTAACAGATTATTCATTTAAAAATATAAGATTTATTTAAAAATGGTAAACCTTCACTAAAGTGTTAGTATAATTTTAAAGAGAGATAGAAACACGATGTAACATTACGCACAGCAGATAACATTGCATCAAACAGAGCGTCATCTTGCACTTCCAATTTAATTGAAAAATTGTTTAACAATTACTAGAAATAATACGATAAAGCCAACATTAAAAACTTCACATATTTAAAACTCCGATGATTGCGATTTTAGTGGTGACCAAATAAAAAATTCGTTTTTATTTAAGATTAGATTCAGGATTGATGGAGAAATCGCAATTGATTGAGTGGTTGGAACGGCTATTCATACCAGCAATTAAATCGATTGGAGAGAATGCATTCTTGTCTTAGATGATCACGGCACTCATGTGTCATTAAAAGTTATTGAAATATTTAAAAAAGAAAACAGTGTTTGATTGGCCTCCCTACACGCTTAAAAATAGTGTGGACAAAAAACACGACACTTAGTGTAGTGTCTTTTTGGCTACACAATTTGTGTACTTCAAGGCTACACTTGTCCGCTTTAAAGCCACACTTGTAATTATGAAATTAAACTTCATTATATGCGTAAAAAAAGCCACACTTCTTTGTTGGATTCTCGTATCGAATTATTCGGAAAGGAGGCTAGAATCATGTTTTTAGCGACATGTTTTTTTTTATGAACCATTTTCAGTTTTACTGAAAATTTTAGTGTAACTTTTATTGCTGCATGGTAATTTTAAACACATACATAGTTAACTTTTTCATAAAAAAATTTTGGTTTGTAATATTTTAGTAATATCGTATTAAATATGTTAAGCGGGGAAAATATCGATTTTCAGTTGTTAAAAATTAGGTAAGACCTTCGGTTTGTAGTACATTACTACATGAATTAGTTGTGTGACTTTATTTAATTAGACTAATGTTATTATTTTATATATATTGTATTAAAATGTTAATACAATTATTTTAGTTACGTTAACAACATTATTATGAAGTTATAAAAATTATAACATAATAACATTAATTATATAAAATAACATTAGTCTAAAAAAAATTTGTAAAATATAGGTTTAAATAAAATCACATGACATTACCAGTTAACTGGTAATCTGTTAACATAACACAAGTAATTTGTTAACATAAATGTAAATAATGTTGTTAAATAATATTGTTAACGTTAAACGTTAATGTTAATGTTGTTAAAGTTAATTTTTTTATGTTATAACAAAATGGAAAATATTTAATACATAAATATTATCAAATAAATATGATAATAGTGTTATTTTAGTTAAAATAGCAGCATTTTAGTTATATTAACAACAACTATTTTAGTTATCATATGTTAACAACTAGATATATATGTATACCATAAAGGTATACTTTACATTATGTACATATCTTTTTTTTTTGCAGAGATAATTAATAAAAATCATTATTGCATGATATATCATTCAATAATGATTTTTATTAGTTAAGATTATGATTTTTAGTCATGTTGCATGTTGAAATAATGTATTAAATAATTTCATCATACCTATGAAAGCACTCTAATAAAATTATATTAATATATGCAATAAATGCACAATTGCAACTATGATTTATAGTGCTATAATATGTATATATTGTATATATATATATATATATATATATATATATATATATATATATATATATATATATATATATATAAATTTTTTTTTTTTTTTCTGATAAAAGTTATTAAAATGTTTATTTGCTATATATATGGTACTTTTACGTAACTATTGATTTTTTTTTCAAAATCATCTACAACGTCATAATAGTATTGCCGAAATTGTTTATCCAATTAGATGTTTACAGAATGGCTGTAAATGTACCTGTACAGCTTATATGTCGCTAATTAGACATGTAAAATGTTACCATAATATTGATAATGATTTCATTGATAAAAATCCTGAGCCAAAATATATAGTAATCCATTAAATTATAATCGTAACGATTTATTGCCTAATTTTTCAGAATATTCATTGCCTAGTTTCCCAGAGAATTCTACTTATCAAGTTTACACTTATCCTGAAAAAACAATAGAATATATTGATCCTTTGTTAGTTTCTTCATTGTGAACAAGCAGCAGTGTTCCTTATTACATTATACCTGAAGTAAATGTTTCTGTTAACAGTAATTTCATAATCATTAGTTTCCTATATTGCAGCGCTCAAATAGTTTTTCAAAGCTTGCCAATAAAATGTAATTATTTCACAAAAAAAGGTTTTCTTTGAATTTTTTGAAATTTCTTCAAACATTGTTGATCATTAATCGGTTGTTATTTTGAGTGATGATATTGGTAATGCTGCTTTATCAGTTTTCAATGACATTAGAGCGGATTCCACTCTATTATTGTTTAAGAGTAAGTTTGAAAGTAGTGTTATACATTGCAATGAGCCACTAAAGTTTCTTGACACATTTTATAAACAAGATAAACACTTAGAAAAAAATTCTTTTTTTGTAACTTCTGAAACGTGCAACATGGGCCCTCCTAGATATGAAATTAATGAGGGAATTTCAAAGATAGTTTCATTTCATTGAAGAGGTATCAAGTAATATTACATTGCATGATGGCTTTAACACTTGCAAACAAAACATTCTGTTACTAGCAAAAGATTCAATGTTCAAAAATACTTTGTCAGAAGACTAATATAATGGAGGTATATATATGTCTACTACCCTAAGTGGGGAGAATGAATAAATAAGAACTTTATAAAATAAGAAATTTTACAACATAATTGTCAGTCTGCATAAGTACTAAGCTGCTGCAACTTGACTATGTGCCAATCTGCAAAAGTGCGAAGTTTCTCTTTCTCATCTTATTTTATTTATTAGTTCCTTATGTAATATACCCTTTTAATCCAAAAGAATGTTTTTTTATAATCTACCTATAAAGGTTTATAAGTATATACAAGTTGTTCCCTGATTTATTTTTATTTTTATTTAGAAGATGCAACTTTGCTTGCATTTAAGGCGCTCCCTTTTCTTATGATAGCACCTCCACAGAAGGGCAAGAAGAGTCCAAGAATTTGGCTTTATTTTATAGAGAAATGGATGTAAGTTTTTTCTTTGCATTTTTTTTTAAAGTTAAATTTGGTTTATAATCAATAAGTATTACTTTTTTGAGCTTTGAATTTTCTGCATTTTTAAAATTTTACTTAAACATTTAGGTACACCTCAGTCTTGAAAGCTCCCTTGAGTTATTGAAGAAGGAGAAAGTTTTTCTACTGATTTTATTCAAGTGTTTCAGCACTCTATTTATAATTTAAATTATAACTATAATTATAAGTCGATAATACAGCTATACGGTTGGAAGCCATACCGTGGATTTATGGGAAATTTGCTTGGAATAAACAACAAAAGAATTATCGTCAATTCCTTTTAAATAAAGTATTGTCAAAAGTTTAAGATTAAATTAAGCAATATGTTTGTGAAACGAAAAAGTATTTTTATCACTTTCTTGTTTATTTTTGTTATATCGTCAGCCGAGAACCAAGAGACCGTATGTCTTTTTTTTGTGTTTCCAAGAAAATCAAGTTTCAAATTTTAATTTGCAAAGTCTTTCTTCCAGAAAATTCGACTGATTATTTAAATATTTCCTAAAATTTTATTGTTGTGGTATATTTATGAAACACACACTCCTGAATATTTATTGATAATGGACAAAAAAAAAACACAAAATGTTGATATACGGTTCTTCTCTGACGGCGGTATCTATTTTTCAAAGTTTTAACTCGCTTTTGCATATAAATGTTTTAAGACTTGTTTTTAATTTAATATTCACTGAATTGAGTTTGAGTTTAAACTGAGTTTATATACTTAAAAGAAATACTATAACAATGCATTGACTCGGAATTAAAATAAAATTTATATTTCAGTTTTTATTATTTTATTGTGATATCGTTCCGTTATTTCTTGTAAGCCAATATAATATACATGTGTAATTTAGTATATGACTCTAAATGACAATGTGTAATTTATTATATGATATAAATAGCATTCTTTATTTGAATTATTTAATTGCGTCCGGTTATATACATAGTACATGAAGACCTAAATGGGCGGAATAAATCACGCATAAATATACTTACAAAAAATCAAAACATTTTTAACGTCTAGAAAAACACAGATTAGTGTTTAAACTATAGTGTTACATTTAGCGCAACACTAATTTTGAGGTTTTTTTACAACAGTTTTGTCGCGCAAAAGAGCATATATATACAGCCATTGATTAAATGCAACAATTATGTCAAAAAAATTTCTACAAAAGTGTCGCATTAAAGGCCAGAAAGTGTGACTTTCAAGTCTACATTTTATGTAGCCTTACGAATGCAACACTGAGTGTGGCTTTTAAAGCCACATAGTGTTGGTGTAGCCGGCGTCGACACTCATTGTTGTATTCTACGCGACATAATGTAGCCTACGGCTCAACACTATTTTTAAGCGTGTAACAGCTTATTCAAGTCATATTTTGAAGTCACTCTGACGTTGGAATATTTTGTCACGTTAAACTTACCTGGAAAAACGTATTAAAATCAAATTATGAATCGTTAAGATGTAAAAATGTTGATAAAACAAACTTTTTAATTTTATTAAAATTTTGTATGTAAGTCGCAAGTGCTTCGCCAGAACACACACAGGAAGTGCGTTTGAAAAAACATGATAATTTCCATTTAATAAATCCATTATTGACCTATCAAAATTAAAAATAAAAGGAATATTTGAAAGTCCAGCACAAGAGCTAGCATCACAATCAGCATTGATTATATCATTGACTGTACATTGTTCATCAATTTCTTCAACACTTATGTCAAAAATTTAGTTAAATAATATAACAAAACACAGATTTCAATTAAAATTGGTTCAAAATATGTAATGAAAACAATTCTGCAACAAATTTATGGATCTGATCAACATATCCTCAAATTTAGAAGAAACAATGTAAGAATTGAAGGAGATGTTTTAGCTGAAGTCGAGACCGAGATCTCGACTTAAAGATCGAGAAGGAGAAAATTAGAGTAATGGATGAAAAACGAAATAAAAAATAGCTAGAAAAAAAAATAGAAAAAGTAACATAGTCTACGCAGACAATGCAAGCATACCAAGTAAACAGCAAAAAATACTTCAATATAAAAAATGCCAATTTTCCATTTCCATCACTTAATGTGAAAAGTACAAAACTCATTTCCATGACTCAATGGTTTAATGTGAAAATAATTTGCTTCGATTGTGGTTTTTTAACCAGATATGTACTTATGTATTTATTTCAACCAGATATGTACTAAACAATATCAACGAGAGTTTTTCTGCACTAAGAAGTGTAGGCTTAGCGGTTGCAAAAATAAGTTTTGATATAAAATAAAATAAAAAATCTCCATTTTTAGTGTTCTTTCATTAATTATAACGGCTGAAAAAAATACCAACCCCTGGATCCCTCACTGGTTATTTTAATTTTATCAAATTTTATTAAATATGTATCAACTGATACTTTTATAAAACATTGTGTTATTAATTTTATCTTGTAAATAAATTAAAAAATAAAAATATTTTTTTAAATAAAATATATAAAATTTGATAAAAAAAAACATTCAGAAAAATGTTAAAGTTTTTGTATTAAATTTTACTCTAAAACCTGTTACTAAATTTACTTTTATAAATATAAACAAAATAAAAAAAGAGTGATGATATTTTATGACGATAATCTAAATAACATTCCAACATTATGCTTCCAACATTATTCTTCCAACATTATGCTTCCAACAATTCAAATTTTTCCTTCACAGGTTTTTTTCTCGTTTTTTTTTTTTACTGTTAAATTTTTAATTTAGAATGACTTTGATTATTGCTAGATGTGATTGTGATGAGTGAATGTGGTTGTGAAGAATGAATGTGGTTGTGAAGGGTGAATGTGTTTGTGAAGGGTTAATGTGGATGTGAAGAGTGCATGTGGTTGTGAAGAGTGAATATGGTTGTGAAGGGTGAATGTGGTTGAGAAGAGTGAATGTGATTGTGTAGAGTGGATTTACAATATAATTCATTTTTATTTAAATCTAACAAGATACTTAATGGTTTAAACATTTTAAAACAAAGCTTGCGTGTCTTCCTTCTCACCTCTTCTGTTACCTTATTTTTTGTGTTTTAGACCCTTTTTTGATCTTATTTGACTATAGTTGAGTTTTTAAGCAAAAATATTTTACTACATCAATTAGTTTTAAATTTAATCAATGATCTTAGTCTTGAATATAACTATTAAATTGAAATATTCTTTGGTGCATACTTTAAAATATAAGTTTTTAGAATAAATAACGTGTTTTTTTGGATGATATGCGCAAGATCAACGACGTGATAAATGCGCGAGAATAACATTTATGTTTATTTAACGTGAAATATTTATTATAAGTTTTATGATTTTATCTAAAAAATAAAACTGGTAACTAATTGCTTTGGAGAATCCGAGAGATCATTTTTACAAGTTTCGCAATAAAAATATTTTAAAAAACGTTTGACACTTGTCATGCTAAAGGTTATTTCATTGTTGATATGCAGAACAAAATTTTTCACGCACATCACCAAAGTTTTGTATGAAGTCTGGATACCAATCTTGCTCTATAATCTGCGGGGAGGTTAGCAAAAAATAAGGTGCCTGTCATCAACTCAATATCTTTGATTGATGCAACATGAAACTTTATGTACTCTAATTCAGTCTAAAAAGTAAACATATAAAATTTTTAAAATGTCTTATTGTTATTTAAATTTAGTAATAAAAACTTCGATATATAAGCTTGAAAATGAACAAAAAAAAAAAAACGACATGCAACTTTGAAAATTAAAGATAATCTAATAAATAGTAAATCCAAACATAAACACAACGTTATTTAAAAAATTTAGAATTTGCAAAACATTTTAACTTATAAAACAAATTGTTTCCAGTTAACCATACTCTTCTTTTTCTTTAGACTTTTTATAATCTATGAAGTATTTTAGGCTGTGTATTGCCGAAAAACTCAAATAAATCATTACTTAACGCAAGTTTATCACATGTTTAGACCGAGTTTTAATAAACTAAAACTTAATGAAAATTTTTTAAAGCAGAACAGCTCTTAGAAAGTAGTTTTTTAAGTTCACTGGCTCTGATAAACTTACCCAGGAAAAAATGTTCTATAGAATTTTTATAAACTTTTGAAACATATGGTCTATAGAAATTCTATAGAATTCTATAGAATTCTATAGAATTTCTATAGAATCTCTGTTAATTTCTATAGAATTTTTTTTTTACTTTTATTTTCTATAGAAAAAACAGTTTTATAGCAATTTTTTAGAAATTAATAGACATTCTATAGAAATTCCATAAAATTTCTATACGCCATATGTTTTAAAAGTTTATAGAAATTCTATAGAACTTTTTTTCCTGGGCATACAAGCATATAAAAACTGAAGTTTGTATATACTTATGTCGAATGAGAATATTATCTAAAAAATTGCATATTATCTACAAAAATTTGAGCCTGGAGACAAAAATAACTCAAAAAACTTATTGTATCTTCCAAAAATGTGAGGTCAATGAAAAAATAAAATATTTGTATTTACTCAAATTTAATGACAGGTTTTAAATTTCATCTAGTAATCTATTAGTGTTCAAAAGTAAAGACGATGTAAAGCTTCTACTCTTCCTAAAATAAGGGGATTGTAAACTTAGCATGGTCATAACTTTCGAACACTAAAAGTTGATTATTTGAAATTTAAAACAAGTTTTAAATTTCATTTAATAATGTTTTGAATTCAAGTTTAATATAATGTGCTAAAAAATATATTTCATTCACTAATTGCCTACACATTTCGGTTGGAACTCTTCTGTTATGATATTTTATACTTTAAGCTATTTATTTGTTAGGATCTTGACTAATTCTTTGTCGATCCAAGCCCAAATAGATTTGATTAGATTCAAATATGGTGATCAAGTTGGTCTCATAATTTGAAAATTCTGAAAATAATACTAACGAATTAACTTAAAAAAGATATTTTGGGAGGCTCTAAACACACGGAAAGGTCCATTGCAAGTAATTTTAAAATCTTTTGAAACCTTCCGTGAGACTTTTTTCACTTTTAGTGTTTCCACTTTTTCCAATTTTCGTCTATGGTAGGTTTTGTTTTTGCACAAAATGTTTGTCAAATCTGTCTCACAAAAAAAATCATTAAATAATAATTGATCATTAGGACTTGAAAATTTCAAATTTTTTTTATTGAAAACTGCTAAAAACTCACCCAAGTTAAGTAATTTGTAATAGATTAAAAAGCAACTATAAACTCATTATTTCACACTTTGTTTTCTCTAAGTTTATGACAAATATTGTTTAATATAAATGTGTTTAATAACAATACTACCAATTTAATATTTAGAATTTTAATTTAGAAAGTTTAATCTCAATGTTAGTTTAATATCAGTAATGAATAACAAAAACATTCTCAATTTAATTTTAATTTAGAAAGTTTAATCTCAATGTAGTTTAATATCAGAAATAAGTAGCAATAACATTCTCAAACATTTCTCGAGTTATTCTTAAACTTTCTTACTGTTTAATCAACAATACATCTCAAAGGTTGTTGTGAATATTCTAGATGTGTAACATCTCTATTATATCTCTAACAGTGAGTTTTGAAGTTTGAATGTTGAGCTTTTGTATCTTGTTTAATAAAGAAACCAAGTCATGTCCTTTTGATTTTAATGAACTGTAGAACGTGGTAAAAAATAGCATGTACTTTTGGTGTGATGAAAATTGAGAGTTTCATGTAGCTGTCTCTGAATTTCATAATTTTTGATTCAAAATAATTACATCTCTAAAATGCAATAATCACATCTCTAAAGTAAGACAGTTTGGATGAAGGGAATGATCTGATTGAAATTGGCAAAATCAGCAAGCTGCTGCAACTTACCCAAGCCTCTTAAAAGCTGAAATGGAATATGCAGTGCTGATAATCATTCATTTGCACCAGGCCAAAGATCAACCAGATTTTTCATAAGATGATTTACAATACTTAGCAAAAAATGTAGCCATGCTTTGACTGTGCGGGCAGGCAGCATTTGTTTTGATCAATCAGCTACTGATAGACCGTCTAGTTCTCTAGCGTTTATATATATAGGTGTATTGGTTGATACGGCCTTTGTAAAGATTACCCACACTTATTCTGTAATAATTAAAGCAGCCCTAAGCAACACTTACACCACCACCTTGCAACCTTAGTACAATACTTTCAAATACTTTTTAAATTTAAATCTTTCATCAAAAACTTTGACTAAAATTAGTTCAATTTTAATCAACGTTGATACAAGATAAAAACATGAGTTCAGTGAAAAAGAAGTTAAAAATTTTTTCACCAACATATTTTAAAACAAAATAACCTTCGAAATTTCACTTATTGATAAATTAATTAGATTTCATTGTTGTAATTTATAATAAAGCTACAACAACAAAAATTTTTATACCAAATTATTTTACTGAAAAAAAAAACTATCAGTTAAGCTACTTATGTCCAGTGACAAAAAAAATTAAAACTATGTTTATTAAATTTGACAGAAATAAGCATTTAACGGAAATAACTCTGATGAAAATTAATGCAAATGACTCTGTATTACACACCCCACTATTTTTTGGTTTCGTTCATTTATACAGCATTGAAACGTGTATAAACATAAAAATGTCTTCATTCATATCTTTTGGTATGGTTTTGTTTTTGTTTATTATTGTTATACATTATTATTATATACTATTATTGTTATACATTACTTTTATACTTTATTATTATTATTAAATTATATATACATTAAACGCGCCCTTAACAAGCATTATAACAGTATTTTTATAGAGCTTACCACCGTAATAATGATGATGGTAATTACCACCGTAATAATGATGATGGCAATTACCAAAATAAATACTAAAAAAACCTTCTTACTGTGCAGATAGTTGAATTGTTATGTGGAAGAATAAATGATAGCGTGTCTAACTCAGTATCACACAAACCATTATTTTTTGGTCTTGAACATTTATACAGGATTTTATAAAAATGCGTAGGAATAGCTGTGCCATTTAATTGATTTTTTAGATATCTAAATAAAAAATAAAGCATTTTTTGTGACCCTGTGTAAGTACCTATTGTGTTAGTAAAAACATTAATTACTTAATTTTGCTAGTAAGAACATTAATTACTTATTTGTGCTAGTAAGAACATTAATTACTTATTTGTGCTTGTAAGAACAATAATTACTTAATTGTGGTACTAAGAACATTAGCTACTTATAAATAGGAGGGGAAGGGGGGTCCAAAAATCTATACTTCTTGTTTAATTTTTTGAGAAAAGTTTAAAAAACAATTCAGTTTTTGCTAATTTTTTATGGTTGACCTTCTACTTCTATTTTAAAAACTTTAAGATATAAAAAACAAGTCTTTGCAAAAGTTTTTTTTGCGTATGAAGTTACGCAACTTTTCTTGCAAATTTATGCTATTCAAATTTTGATTGGATAAATTTGACTTTTAGTCGTTGCGTTATAAAAAAAAGTTTTATCTGAAGTCTCTTTCTAAACAAAACGTTTTAAGTAATCAGAAAGACAGATTGCTTCAAAATATCTTAATTTCCTTTTTTTTTTTTTTTTTTAATCGTTATTCAAGCTATCAAGAAGGTTATTCAAGATTTCTTTTTTTTTTTCTTCACTTTTTTTTTAATAAAGTCAAGAATAAATCTTCTTTTAAAGTTCCAGTCAGTAGAAGTTCAGTTAAATTCTAAAGGTTTAACAACTCTAGAGATAAACAGGCTAAAGGAATACCACTACCTAAAAGGCTTTATAAAAAACAAACTGAGTGATCAAATTTTGAAATTTTCTGCTTTACTCTAAAACGCAGTGAATAGCTAGTTAAAAAATTCTAGAAGCAGTTAATAAGTATACCTCAAAGAGGTTGAATGATTGTATCATTCTTGCTAGAGTATTTTGGCAAAAATTAGCCTCAGGACTTCAAAAAAGAGAAAAGTATTATGTGTTTGGTTGATGATGGAATATGATTAGTAATAACTTTCTAATTATGTTGTTGCAGTTGGAAAGCTTTGGAAAAAAAACAATTTAATTTCAACAGTAGATGTATACTTAATTATTTAAACCATATAAAAAATGAAGGCTCGCGTAGTTTAAAAATATTTTGGAAAATTATAGTGCAATTATAAGTCCAAAAAGTTGAAACTATGGAATATAGTTGAAACTAGCTACAAAAACAAATGGATAACGATGGAAGAGCAGCAAACTTTACATCAGGTGTGCAAGAAGAGTTCTATTTTAGTTTGATTAAAGTTACAAGGCAGCCCATTTAGCTGTGAACTAGATATTATTTAAGTAGATAAAGATATGTTAAAATGAAAAAAAAATTCGAAAAATGAGGTTCTTTATTTTAGGGATACAATGTAGGTCTATTTTGTTTAAATTCATGATTGTTCATATAAAAATACAAACCTGCATCTTATGTCTACCAAAGAAAACGCTCATAACCTAGATGTTCTACATGGAAAGTTCCCGCAGCAATCTCTATCACATATGATGATTTTATAGTTATTTTCTATTTTCAATAGTAAATAACAAACTGTATGAATTATTTTCATATATAATACCTTTTTTTGTTACTTATAAGTCATAAGTTATATTATTAATAAATTAAACAGAAAAAGATTTCTACTTTTATACTTTTCTTATATTTAATGATAATAATAATTTCATCTATTTTGAACAATGCCTTTTTTTAATATATTCACTTTTATTAAAATCGAAGTAGAAGGCTAAATAATTAAAATAAAAAAAAAAAATTATTTTGATTTTTAGAATCAGCATGAAAAACTAATTAAGAAAAATTTGTTAAACTATAAAAAATTTTAAAAAAAGATTATTATGGACACCCCCTCCCCCTCCCCCCCTATTATAAACAATCAACAATAGAGACAATTATTTTAAATGTTGATTAAAAAATGCAAAAAATTAATTTACTAAGAAAATTGTTACCTTTACTTACAAAGATATTTATATTTTATTATTCTATTATTTTTAATTTTTATTATTTATAATTTACAACTAATTAATTCATTATTTGATTACTAATTGATACTTATTTATTGATAATTGGTACTTAATTTGGGCTAATTGGAGATATTTTGGCATTTAAAAGATGATTTAATCACAAGATTCAAATTTGTAAACAGTTTTGTATTATTAAAAGTTTTTTAATGTATTTATGTAGTTAGAATCATATAAGTGATGATAATAACTACATACATACGTTTTGAACTAAATATCAAAGATGGTGATGATGTTAAAAAACAATTCTAATCTTTCTTCAAAAGTCATTTAACAAAAATTGTAGTGAAAGTATTTAACAAGGTATTTAAAACTTACTGTTTTGCTTGATTTATATCATCTTTAATACCATTGTTATCAACATCAAATATAGATCCAGTAATAACATGTATACTGCCATAATGTATGGTCCAATTGCGAACCAAGTCTTCTAGCACTTGCCAAATTCCTGAATAAAAGCATTAATATTCATAAAAAAATTAAAAAGATTTTCAAATAAAACTTATGTGTAAGTTTAACTTACACATAAGTTTTGTTAACTTATTAAATATTACAACTTTATAGCAAGATGCGAATAAAATTTCTAGAAAACAATGTATGTATGTATGTCTGTCTGTCTGTCTATCTGTCTGTCTGTCTGTTTGTATGTATGTATGTATGTATGTATGTATGTATGTATGTATGTATGTATGTATGTATGTATGTATGTATGTATGTATGTATGTATGTATGCATGTATGTATACATGTATGTATGTGTATATGTATGTATGTTAGGGTGGTTCAGATTATAGAGAAAACTTTTTTCAAACTTGAGTGGAAGCTTATAAGGTGCGCAGACCCTTGTTTTATATGTAAGATTTTTTTTTTCTCTTAATTAAAAAATTTTTTAGAGAGGCACACGGCCCCAAAGTACTTTTAAAAAACGACCCATTTTTTGACATTTTACGACCCTTTGTGTGCAAACTATAAACATTATTGAATTAAATATTTTTTAAATATTTATTTTTCTATTGAATAATATTTTAAAAAATTACACTTTCTATACATTTTTTTTCTAAAAAGTAATAAAATAGACGTAAAAAATTTCTTTCTTTTTATTACAAATTCTACTTAAATCAAATAATAAATAAACTATTAAAATATTCTATATTATTTTGGATATCAAATTGAAGTATATAAAATAAGAAGGATTAGCCCTCTCATATTAATATACTTTTCTTTCAAGTTAAATGGGAAAAATAAAATTAACACAATATTAGACTTTTATTAGATTATTAACAAGTTATTGTTTTAAAATACAATTAGTTACGCTTGATGCTAAACCTGTTTTCTTTGCTCCTCACTCACTTCTTTTTCAAGTATGGTTAAGCGAGAATGAATCCTGTCTTTTTTTCTCTTTGGTTTATTTTCCAATCAGTTTTTTAACTAGTTTAATGGCCCTATCTGATGAGTCAGACCACAACGACAGATTTAACAATAATTTCAAACTCAAGATAAAAATCATTGAACTATCAAAACTGTAAAGGTATCTCAAACCACTGCAATTCTTTCCATGACCAATCTTATCAAAGAGGAGCCAAGATTGTTCAATTACTAGAGCACAAAGAGGCTGATCTTGTGCAAATCTAGAGAGTGAAGAAGCTCTTTATTGACCATAACACGCTCAAGTGGATATACTATTGGTTTTTTAGAAGTATACTGTATAATGCTTTGGCAATGTCTTCTCTATTTGGGCAATGTTCATCTGCTAAAGCAAGCACAACTAAGGCAGGATCAAGATACCAGCTGTGCCTGTAAAATGATTTTGGTGCTGAAGTAGCTCCATAAAGATTTATATCCAAAAACCTATTCATCTGCCACAACATTTTCATGTCCTACACAATATTTTAACAAAATTCAATTAATTTATCAATCAAATAATTAACTAAATATTTTTAACCCGTTTTTTAATTTATTATTATTATTTTTAAACTGATATAAAGCAGCTGCTGCTTTGTATCAGTTAAAATCAGTGCAGAAACCACTGACTGTAAAAGATGCCAACAAACAAGAAGCCATATCAAGAATCTCTTTTAAATTTTCCTATAATATGTTTGGAATGGTATCCAACAGTAAAAAATTTTAAAGTTTAAGCTTTGCCATAAATCTTATGGAACAAACCAGGAATACAAAACTAGAACTTCTTTTTTTAAGAAAATGATGTTAATCCTATTCGAACTGGGTTTTAGAGATCAGGTTTATACTGGGATGCGCACTTGGAACACAAAGCCTAAATCTTGGTAATGACAAAGCATTTGAACTTCAAATTTTGAACTTTTAAAGTAACCTAAATTAAAGCAGTGTTTACTCATTTGTAACTTACTTTATATATGTATGTTTGTGTTCTGTCTGAACCTCAAGCGCCATGTTTACTCACTTGTAAGTTACTATATGTTTGCCGTTTATGGTGTGCTTTTTTATACAAAAACTTGAAGAAACAAACTTCGACTTGAAAATCCTCAATCTTGGGGCTCTTGGTTGAGTAAAGGCTAGAAACTGTGTCTCAATAAAAATACTTATCTTGGAAAGATGTTAACTACATCCAGCTATTGTTTTATAGGAGGCCTTCTAGGCAAAGACTCTAGGGATAAGCTAAATAATTTTGATAGGGATAGATATAAACCTGTGTTACATTGTTTCCTGCCTAAAATGATGAAGACTGGATCTTCTTAACGTTTCTCATAGGTTTATGCTTATGCCTCCCTAATAGTTGCTATGCATCTTCCTTTTATCTCCTAATGAGGGTACAGCTCTAAAACTCTGTTTAATGGTTTTGAGATTAGCTAGTAGTAAGGTTTTTCTCTCAGAGAGAACCTTACGCTCTCAGAGAGGCTGATTCCATCAACAACTGCAAAATATCAGAGTACTAACAGTGCAAAGTTGTTCCTGTTAATGCGAGCATTGTCGAGAACACATAAGGAGCCCTATGTTACAACAGGTTAATTAACAGGACTGAGACATTTGCATAGCTCATTGTTTAAGAGGCCGTACTCTATCTATGAATGAGTCAAGTTCTTTTTAAACATAAATCATACAAAAAGTAACCCAAAATATTAAACATAAAAAACCATCCCCACCACCTAACTCTTTTAATATCTTTTACAAATATTCATGGAATATTTGTAAAATATTTTGTGAAGCAACCTTCCATCAGTTTAATCTTACCTTTGCAATATTCCCAGACTTGCTTGCTCTTAGTAAGACTAATTTAAATTCCACTATTTTACCTTCAGATTTCAGTGCTGATGGATACTATCCTTTGATTCACAAATACTCTAATAGTCACATGCATGGCTTGGAGTATATATATGCACTATTTCAAATATTTGTCAGAATTAAATCTTTCAACCATTCTTTTGTGTGTTTACGCTTAGCAACACTTTACTATATAACCTTTCTTGTTCTTTATCATGTTCTCATACTCCTTCTTCCCAAGACTACACTCTTTTAGATGTAACTTCTGATCAAACTTACTATGCTCCCCCTCTTTACCCCTCTGTCAATATTGTTGTTATTGGTGACTTCAAGGCTCATTACACTGAATGGCTTGGCTCTAACGCCACTGACCCTGTTGGTACTAAAACCTAAAATTTCTGCATTTCTCAATCTGTTACTCAGATAGTTAACTTTGCGACTCGTTTTCTTGACAACCCTAATCATTTACCTTCACTCCTTGATTTATGTCTGGTCTCTGATTCTAGCTCGTGTTCAGTTTCTCCTTAGAGGTTCTGATCATGCAATGATATCTTTAAATATTTTATCTTATACTTCCTTTTTGGATTGAACTTATCATCATTAGATTACAAACTTTGAACTGCATTTCTCCAGCACCTGACTCAATATGCGGAAAACCTAATAGCTTACTTTTCCCATTCACTTTCACTAATACAGCTAATCTTTCTCTTGTGGCTAAATAATCTTTCTCTATTGGATTCCCTTTTAGATTTTTTTTTCTCTCATTTTATTTTAGAACTAATTTTAGAACCGCCTATATAACCTTGTTTTCTTTAATTCTGCATTTTCAAAAACATAATGTATATACATTTAATCTCTTTTTTTTTTCTCTATTTATTTTTATTTCAACAATCAAAATTTTTATGTCACATTCTAACCAAAATACTTTTTTAGATTCTATTAAAAAGGGCTCTCTATCAATGATTCCTCTTGGTGTCGATCTGTTTTTAAACAGCTTTTTATATTTTATTATTAGAGCCTCAACTTCTTTCCTAAACTAGATATTAATTAGATAAGTAAATAATTTATTTACATTAAAATTTGATAAATAATATTACCGATAAAACGCATGGTATGCTACAAGTTCTGTATTATCCAAGTTCCTAGAGTATGCATACACGTATGTATGAATGAATGTATGTATGTATGTATGTATGTATGTATGTATGTATGTATGTATGTATGTATGTATGTATGTATGTATGTGTATATGTATAAAATATAAAGCATAGTAAACAAAACAGCAGATAAATTTACCCCGATTAAAATAAGGATACTGAGGTGCAATGTTGCTTAGCAAATTAGTATCTTGTTCATCATCAACATTATGATTAAAATCTCCTTAAAAACAAAAGTTATGAACAAAATAATATTTTTTACCATTTAAAAAAAAAATTTTTACCATTTAAAAAAATAACTTTTGTTCCGATTAAAAAAAAATTTTTTACCATTTAAAAAAAAACAAAAAAAAAAGGAATTCAAATTAAGAAATTCAACTTTAACTTACCACTAGGAGCCAAATGACCGCGATCAAACCCTGAATTGGAATATGATGAACAAAACGAACTCTCATTTGATAACAAGCGAATATCTTGACGGAAACAATTTGATCGGTTTATATTTATCAAAAGATTCTAAAAAAAAATTCAAATAACCAACGCGCTTTATAAAAATCATTTTAGAAAAATGAAAACTTTGTATTTTTATGAAAATTTGATTAACATATGAAGTAAAGAAAACTCAAAAATATTCTAAGAAACCTTTCCAAGTAGTTCATAGCCAACCCACAAAGGTATACGTAGTTTTGTACTATACCCTGTTATATATGATCGCTGAGTAAGAACGCATACAGAGTCATCACCCCCTCCATATGGTAAGGAATATGGAAAATGTTTGGTTTGGGAACTGATTACTTTAACAAGAAATAAAAACAATTTTCAAACAATACATCACTACAAAATTGAATGTATATATATATAAAATTTAATCACTTACATTCTTTTTTTGACAAGTTTAAATTAGATTCAAATAAAGTAATATTGTTGAAAATATTTTTCTAAAATAAAATAATAACATAGAATTCTAAAATATAGAAAATAATAACATTTTAATAATATTGCAACAATATCAGTTTTTTTTTTGAATTTTAAATTGCTTATGGGAAAAATTAAGTTTAGTTAAAACTCTGGTGTCAAAAATGGCTTGTTGAGTTCATGTCTTAATTTAGAGCTAATTTTGTCAGGTTGGAAGTCTATTTTCTATTTCAATGTTAGAAATATCTATTTAAAAATACTTTTTTTGAGATTTATACAGGAACCAACCAAATTTTTATTGAAAAATTAAATTTTTATTGAAAAATTAAATTTTTATTGAAAAATTAAATTTTTATTGAAAAATTAAATTTTTATTGAAAAATTAAATTTTTATTGAAAAATTAAAGTGAAAAAATTAAGAATCCTTCCAATTATATAAAAACTCATCTGAAGAAACAAACGGTTCATACAAAAATATACATTAAATATTTCTTGTGAATCAAATTTTTTTTTATTTAATAACTTTTTATAGAGCAAAGATTATTGGCAACCAATAAACAACCCTGTCAGAATATACAATTTCTAGATTTCTAAAGTTTGTGAGTGTTTATGAAACATTGGTGCAGCTCTTGAAAATGCTTTACTACATGACATCAATTTGGACAACAAAAGTTTGGAAATAAATTTAAAGAAAATTTCAAAATATTACTTTTAATGTTAATCAAGTGATGACATAATTGACAAGTTGATTGATTGCCGAGTTTATTAAAGTTATAAATACATTTTCGGTTTTAAGAATTGACATTGTATTCTAACTAAAATGTAAAATGAAAAAAAGATGGAAGATGTGTAAAGCATATATTTTAAAATAACTCCCTTAAAGTATCTTAATTTTTTAAATGAGTTTATGTTTATTTTGATATTTTTATGTACTGAAGTTTTTCTGTTGAAATCTTCAACTAGTTAATAAATTATTATAATGTAAATTAATATCTACAGTGTGTATATATATATATATATATATATATATATATATATATATATATATATATATATATATATATATATATATATATATATATATATATATATATATATATATATATATATATATATATATATATATATATATATGTATATAGAAATAAAAAAAAAACAGACCAATAATAAAAAACTAATGAATCTTTTAACAAATTTTCATTCATTATTGTGTTTCATTAATAAAGACTCATCAGAAATTTCTGATGAGTTTTTATTGATGGAACAGTGTTAAAAAAAAATATTTGTTAAGCGATTTTCTACTAATAACTCGAGGACACTCTCAGCATCACTTTAAATAGTTCTTCAATGCTTCTGACCTCAACAACAATATGCAATCCATCTCCACTAGACTTAATTTCTTCCCTAACAAAGTAGTCAGATGATGGAATTTACTCCCAAAAAGTTCAATAAAAGACTCTCATCATCTTACTGAGTTTAAAAACATTGAAAAACATTTTGGTCAGCATTATAATTATCCACTAAAGTGCTGCTACAGCTCATTGTCTATTGACAAAGAGCTAAAGAGTTGCTTGTCTATTCAAGCAAGAGAGAGAAAAAAAAACATTTATTTTGTGCTAAAATTAGCACTTTTATTTAGTTTAGTCCTTATTATCATTATTATTATTATTATTATTATTATTATTATTATTATTACTATTGTATATATATATATATATATATATATATATATATATATATATATATATATATATATATATATATATATATATAAACATAAGTACATGTGAGTGTGTGTGTATATATATAACTACATTCAAATCAACATTTTAAAAACTAAATTTCTGCAGATTTAGTTTGGTATTAACCCAATATCAAACTCAATCTGCAGTAACAGCAAATAAGCAACAATAAATAATATAAAGTATAAAAAATACCGAACAGTAAGGGCAAATGCATGATTTACACAATAATTTTCGTGCATTTACATCATTAGGAAAAAGTCTAAATGGGTAAGTTATTTTATTCAATGAAGAATATTCCATTGTAGAAGGTTGAAGTAGCAAGTGATTAAGACTTCCAAATGTTCCATTATTAGGAGCTGGTTTCAACTTTAGTATACCTTAAAGGATAAATTAATATATCATCTGTGTTATTAAAAACTATAAACATAAAATATTTTATGTTACTTTTGAGTTCTAAGCAATATGCTTAAAGGAAAAGTAAAGCAATGAAAAGAAAAAAACAATATTTTACGCAATTTAGTTTAGCAAATTTAAATTTAAATACAATATTACAAAATTTTACTTGCAAGAAGGTTGTAAATTTCAATATTTGCAAAAGGAGTTGAAACAAAACCAGATTTAAATACAGGTCCTGATGCCAAAAATATATTCTAAAAAACATTCTCAATATTCTAGAATTGTTCAGGTTAAAATAATAAAACTACAAGTATATAAATTTTTAGGGTAAATATATGAGTTAAAGAGATGGTTGTAATAAAAAACTCTGTTTTGATGTCTCTGACTGTATATGAAATGTTAAAATTGTCATTTCAAAAGTGTAATTTCAAAAGTACTATTTGAAAAGTGTCATTTCAAACAAGGATAAAAATTGCCTAGCTCAGACACTTTTAAGTTGGCAGTTAGGTCAGCATCGTGGAATGCCGAACCAAATCTGGGGGGCCACATCTCTATATAAAGAGCAATTTTAGTTGATATTAAAGGTCTAAATTCTCAACATTCAAATATCTCTTTATTGAGCTTGACAATTTCTTACTTCGGATTCTACTCTCTATCTCTATAAATCTCAAATCCAGCCTATTGTTGCCATATCTGGTCCGGATCTTCTAATGATGCTCTTTCTCTTTTAGACAAGATGCAAAAACGCATTCTAAACAAAGTTGGACCTGCTCTTGCAGCCAACCTTCAACCATTATCACATTGTATAATGGGCATTGCTCTAAAGAACTAGCGTCTTTAGAGCAGTGCAGCCTTGTTGGAAGCGAAGATGTTGAAAAAAATTGAACATAATAGAAAAACTATTTATATAATTTGTTATTACTTTTCTATTTATTTCGTTGGCTGAAAGTATTCAGCAATTTTTTCAAGAATTTCCAGAATCTTCTGAAAGCTTCAAAAAATAAAAAAGATCAGTGTTGCCATGGCAACACTGATCTTTTTTATTTTTTAGATTACTTTCTTTGTCTGTCTTTAAGCAGGTGTCTACTTTCTGATTAGCTGTCTAGCATTCAGCTTACATGGCCATGTAAGCTGAATGCTAGACAGCTAATCAGAAAGTAGACACCTGCTTAACCCTCCTATATTTGCACTATTTATCTAACTGGCTTGATAGTTTTTAACTGAGGGACATATCATTTTTTACTTACATGTATTGGATAAGAAAGGGTACATTAGGTAAACCACACCAGAAAGATTTGTGGCTAAGGCCACAACAACCATCAATTATTTTTTTTAGAAAAAAAACTTAATAATTTTTAGCCAAACCAATGTTAGAAATAAAGAATTTATTTTGAAAATCTTAATACAATAAATCTAAAAAAAAACCTTTTTAAATTTTTGCATTAATTGACTTTAAATTTATCTGATTTTAAATAAACAAAATGTTAATTAACAATAAAAGCATAAAGAATACATATATACCCCCTCATATACCCTCTACAAAGTTTACATAATAAATAATAATAAAACATATATATTTAATTTTGGCATAAATCAGTTTTTATAAAGTTTCAAATACATTATAAAACAATTACCTGCATTTCAGGGATGATATTATCCAATCCGTGGTATCCTTTATCAATTAAAGGTGAAGAAAGATTGCTAACAGTAAAATGTAAACATATACACCTACTTTATATATTTTAAAACATGACATATGAAGTGGCAAATAGTATAGTGGTTCAGCTGATTTTATGCTGATTGAGGAATGTGTTTTATTACAAATATTATAAAAAATATTAACATTCTCATTATATTCAGTTAAGCATAAATTTACCATAAAGAATACAGATCCAAAACTAGTTTTTTATTTTTATTTAAAGAGAATATTTTCAACATTTAATATATCAGCACTTAATACACACCCTAACCCACTATCTAATATACATCCTAACCCACTATCTAAAATATCAACACCTAACATGCAATCTAACACACCATCTAACATTTAGTGATATATTAGGTGTGTAAGAGTGTAAGAGCTTAAAAGATAAATAACAAATAGAATCAAATGAAAAATTCAGCCAAATAAAAAAAATATTTCTAACAACCTCATATTACACAAGGTAATTAAAAAATATTTTGTCTTATCTTCAAAAAAATTTTTTTTTTAGTCATTTTTACCGAAACAAAAAAAAAATTTTATAATCGAAACAAGCAGTTTCGATTTTTTTAAATTTTTTCAATTAAAAATTTTTTAAATTTCAATCTAAAGAATAAAGTAATTTTAATCTAATTTATTTTTTAATCTAATTTATTTTTTATTAATTTTTTAAAATAAGTTCTAAAAGAATACAAAATAATATATTTTTGCCAAAAGGTTTTTTTAGTCAGAAATCAATAAGTCAGAAATGTAATAAAAATTTAATGTTTCTTAAACTTTTTAAAAAATAATATCCTCTATAAAGTTTAATGAAGATAAAGTATTGATATATAAAGATAAGGTGTCAGTTTTTTAAAGATACATAACCCTATGTTAATATAATTCTGTATTATTTTCAAGGTTTGTAAAACTTCTAATTGAATCTCACAGTGACATTTAAAATGAATTTAAAGTTGTTTTGTTCAATACTCTTTTTTTTTTGTTTGTTTTTCTACAAGAACAAGAAAAAAAGTAATGAATAAACAAGAGTATGGAATTAGGTAAGAAAAATGTCATCAAATATATATCTACATAATGCATATATTTAATAATGCATACCTTTAATTTAATAATGCATACCTGACTTGCAAAACCCATGGTATTTTTGGTGTAATAATTACATCACCAATACGTCTAAAAAATAAAATATATTTAAAAAAGTGTTCAAAAAAGTTTTTATATATAAATATGACAACCCTCAGAATTAGGTTTGGCATTTGGCAATGCCAACCTAACTGCCGACCTAAAAGTGTTTGAGGTTGGCAAAATATTGCCAACCTCGTTTTTATGTTTTATGGTATAACCTTTGTATCAAACTTTTTTTGCCGACCTGATGCCGACCTCTAAAAGATTGAGGTCGGCAAAATATTGTCGACCTCGTTTTTATTACTTATGCACCTTTTATACATATAAAAGGTGTTTTTTGCCGACCTGATGCCGACCTCTAAAAGATTGAGGTCGGCAAAATATTGTCGACCTCGTTTTTATTACTTATGCACCTTTTATGCATATGTAGAGGTTATAAGAGACTTATAATTAGGTTTATTTTTGCTATTAAATGCATTTCATTTAATAGCTCAGTAGTTAAATGTGCTGTCATCAGTTTTATTTTGGGGGGTTTAAGACTTTCTCTCAGCGTAATAAACTTTGAACTTTTTTCAATCATGCTTATATACTTATAACAAAAAAATAGTAACGTAGCAAAAAAGATTTCTAAAAATTAAAATAAAATTTTAAAGTTTTCTCATTTTATAGCTATATTATACGCTATTATCTCTATATAATGCAAACTCAACATATACTAAAGACGTTTACGCTTACAAACGTTTGTACATAACGCTATACAAATAGGACCACTAAAATAAAATAAAAATCATAAAAAAAAGTCATAAAAAAAGTGCATTCTAATGATTATTATTTAAAAACTAAAGAATAATTGGCTATTGGCTATTAAAGAGAATAATTAGCCTTGGCTATTAAAGAGAATAATTAGCCTTGGCTATTAAATGCTAATCTAAAAGTTAAGCCTAAAATATTTTGCGCATTGACGTCCGCTTTTTCAAAATTTTTTAAAATAGGTTGACCAAAAAAGACTTGTAATTATTAGAAAAGTTTACTTATATTACATACGATTCTGAATAAAACATTATATAATTGGTTTTTTTACATTTTATAAACAATATACATAAACAAATAACATATTTGTTTATATATATTGTTTATATAGGGATGGTTAAGCGCCAAAACTACCTATACAATAAAGTTTAAAAAAAAATTAGTTTTATATTAAAAAACGGTTTATAAAATGTTGCTTTACAAACACCAATATAGTATACTTAAAATTTTTAAATGTACTGAACTGCAATTACTTTTAATTTTTTTGGTTTAGTGGTATTTTTTAAGAGCTTTTTGCGTCAAATTATCTCATTTCAACATATTGGTTGTATCATTCATTCTGCAGCCATTTTTCAAAATGCTGTAAGGTAAAAAAAATCAATTTTGACTTTTTTACAAAATAAGCTAGTTTTGATGTCTACAAACATTATAAAATACATATTTTTTAAATATTCTAAAAAAGTATTAGTTTCAAAAAACGTTTTACAAAAACTTTCTCCTAATAATTTTTTTTTATTGCGTTTTTCTTGAAATACGTAATAAGCACATCATTAAGTTTCAAGCAACTTTTTTTTTCAGACAGCTTATTAGAATTATTTACCTGAGCACATTAATAACATAAGTTTCTCAATCATCATATATACGCAACAAATCCCAGTGATGTTTTTTTTTGATGTTTTATGAAATTTTAACTTTCTTAAAATCTTTTTTTTTGTGAAAGTGTATAATATCCTTATGTTACATATGTTTGTATATAATCTTTAAAAAACTTCAAAAGTATTTTGTATTTTAAAATAATTGAAAAAAAAATTAAAAAAAAAAAGCCACCATTAGTAGGAATCAAACATCGGCTTACTTGTTCAGAAGCTCAACGTCTTACTCACTCAGCCAAAATGGCACATACTCAAGCGAATATTAATATTCTGGAGTATGGCTGGGCTGGCTTGGTTTAGTTCAGAGACAAATCTTTTACGCTGGTTACTAACAATACAAGACTCTACTGTAAAATTAAGGAGAGCTTGACGCAATGCAATTTTCAAGTAAAAATCAAACTGTAAAACTTGATAAATGTTTCAGTATGTTTTCATATTACTTAATTTTATATTTTAAAGCTATATTTTGGAAATAAAAGATGAACTGTAGTTTAAAAGTAAAAGATGAACTGTAGTTTAAAGTAAAAAATAAATATGTAGTATAGATGAGCATGATAGTTTCTTTAAAGATGATGTATAAATAGATAATGAATGATAGTTGCTATCGAAATAATAACATATCAACTTCTAGGTCAGATTTAAATAAATAAAAATATATTCAGAGCACAGGTAATAATAAAATGCATAATTTCAATTCCAATAAACTTAATAAAAAATTTACAAAAAATATCAATGGCTTATTTAAAAAACCATAGTAATTTAACAGTGATAGATAGTTATGTTTTTATTTATTGTTGTAATCTTAAAGCAGTAAAAAAGAAACTATATTCTAAATTAGTTTCTTATTTAAAGCAGTGAGAGTACTGACTTTTAATCTAGTGAGAATTTATTGTTAGATTTAATGCTCTATTTTTTCTCAGACATTTTATTAAAATATGAACATAGTATTGGAGTAGTGGTAAAGAACAGAGTACAAAGTTCAATGCCAATTACATCTCTGATAGTATAGAGCTCAGTCAGGGCTAAACTTCAACTCACCAACAAAAGCTGATAAACAATTTAAAAAGTAGAGCAAAAAAAAAAATTAAAGAAACCTCTCTTATTAAATTGTTATTTAATTAATACCTGTTATTTAATTAATATCTGTTATTTAATTCATACCTGTTATTTGAGAAATGCATCCTTACTGGTATTGAATAATCATCTTTCTTCATAACCACTACATTTTTGTGACACTAAAAATAGTCAAAATTTATTATTTTTATTAATACTTTATACTCACATTCTATTACAAAACAACTAAATAACTTGTTGACTTATAAATTATATATATATATATATATATATATATATATATATATATATATATATATATATATATATATATATATACTTATAAATTATGTATATATATATAAATATATATATATATATATATATATATATATATATATATATATATATATATACATAATACACAAATAATGACATTAACCTTTGTGCTTAAGCCGCAAAATACCCCGAAAAAATTTTGTATTAACTATTAACTATTTGGCTTTGAGCGCAAGGTAAATCTCAATATTTTGTAAAACTCTTTTCTAATGTGACCATAATGGTTTGAAGTTTTTTTTTAGATTGTTGAGTATCCTAGTTTTTTAATAATTATTGTTTATATTAAAAAGATTTTGCAAAAAAAGAATATATATATATATATATATATATATATATATATATATATATATATATATATATGTATATATATATATATATATATATATATATATATATATATATATATATATATATATATATATATATATATATATATATATATATATATATATATATATATATATATATACAATGTATATAATATTTATATCAAACAATTGTACTGAACTGCTTTCTTTGTCCTGTTCAGGAACTTAACAAACTTTTTACATTCTATGATCTGTGATTTGAGAAAACGATATCAACTCTAACTTTAGCCTCAGACAGCTACAGAAAAAGATCTTGAAAGTGCTTAAAAGGAACTGACTCCTTGTGAAGTGCAGTGACAAATTGTTTGATGAAACCTAACTTAACGTACAGTGATACAATAAGCATTTTCTGAAGTTTTGTCAGCAGCTCTTATTTTACATTTCTCTTGCTCTTGAACTTGGTCCTTTAAAGCTAGTCTTTTCAGTGATAGAGTACTTTAGTATCACAGATGTACCAGTAGCAAAGAAAACTTCATGAAACTGCTTCAAAGGCCCACACTGCAAAAAATCGCTTTGTTAATTTAACCAAATATGTTTGGTTAGGTAGTTTTTGTAAAAACTACAAATATGTTTGGTGAAAAGTTAACTACAAATATGTTTGGTGATAAAGTTCACAAAAGCTAAACCTTTTGTGAACTTTACCAAAATAATTTAGTTATTTTAACCAAATTATTTGGTTACATTCTTTATTTGCTTTTTGTATTCACGCATAAAACAACAAAATAGTTTGGTAAAATTTACAAAATATATTTGGTTACTTTCACCAAAAGCGCCGCGAGATTGCAAATCTTGAGTTTATGTCGCCATTAATTTTTCATTGTTTGTCTACCGACTGCTTTAAATATCACTTTAAGTAAGATTAACTGTGCTTATTGTGAATATACTGCAAGATCTAGCAATTCGTATAAGTGCCATTTAAAAGTTTTTCATAATAAACATAGTTATGGTGAGAGATTAGTTTGCAGACAGGAAGGTTGTCCGCTAGAATATAATTCTTTCTAAAGTCTTATAAAACATATAATTTTTAAAAAAAAGATTGGACTTGGTTTCTTTTATTTTAAAAAACTATTACTTTTATGTAAATATTTGATGTTCTTTATTTTGTTTCTTGAATTTTTAAATAAGTATCTATTTAATATATATATATATATATATATATATATATATATATATATATATATATATATATATATATATATATATATATATATATATATATATATATATATATATATATATGTATATATATATATATATATATATATATATATATATATATATATATATATATATATATATATATATATATATATTATTCATTTAGTCTTCAGGATTGCTTTTTTTTAACAATTATATAATTAATCTTATGCAATAAACTAAAACATGCATAGAACACTAAAGTAATGAAATATCTTCATATTTTGACTTTTTCTAGATTTATTAAATTTAATAAGTTTTAATTGTTATATATTAAAGTGAATCTAGTTTTATATGTGTTATGTAACATAAAATATAAACATTTATTTGCCTTTTTATAGTTTCATATAAAATGAAGGATAAAAAAGGAAAAAATCGAATGCAATGTCTCAAAGCAAGTTGTGATTGTGATGAGTACACAAAAGAGAAAGATTTTGATTTGTGTGCTTATTGTGATCATGCACCAGTTTTACATAAATGTACAATAATATCATAATTATTTAATCTATATAATTATGCCAATAATATATAAAATACAATTAGTTTGTATCTGTAGAAGCTTGATGCTTAGTATTGTTTTTTTTTAAACAAAAATAACTGACATGTAATTCTTTTTTATGTTTTAGTAGAAGATAGTTTTAATCTTATTGAAGATGTTCAGTCAGTTGATTTCACAAAGAGCAATCCAATGCAGAACACTTTATCCAGTACACTTTTTTAATGATTTATCTTGCTTTTCACCTAACTAAAATATGTTAGTGGTAAAACTAAATGATAGTAAATCATTATATAGTTAAAACCAAATTAATGTGTGTTACTAGTTTTTAAGTTAAATACAGTTAACATAAAGTTTTTCCCAAAAATATATCTATTATTTATAAATAACTTTTAGCTTCTCCCAGTATGTCTAGCATGTTCTTTGAGCCTCAAAATGATGCAAAAGAAAATGAAGATGTTACACTTGGTATCTATTATAATTATTTTTTTTATTGTACAATTTATCCTATAATAAGGTAACAGTTGTTAGGGACTTAGGGTGAGTGGTTTAAACATTAAAGGTAAAATTTTTGGTTATGGAAGTTGTTTTTTTTATTAAAAATTTGAAATTTTTTCAATAAAAATTTTTAAATATAAGAGTTTACTTGACTATCTAAATTTTTTTAAGTAACTTAACATTTTTCTCACACTTGTTATACTAGTATTACTATTTGCAACTGATCTGAATAATAATGTTTTTTGATTCTAGAACCAGCTTTTTTAAATGAAAGTGAAAAAGGCTTCTATGTGTGCAGTAATGATTTCATGAGCCCTTTGAAAAAGCATTGTATGTTTCCAGATACAGTATTGACTAATAAAGTAATTTCTACATCGAAAACCATTGTTTATAATAAAAGTTGTGCTCTCTATGAGGTTTTACAATTATTTTTTTTTAATATACTTTTTTTACTATATTCGAAATTTATGAGTAAAGAAATATTTTAACACTTAGTTGGAATAATTTATTAGATTGTATCACAAGTATAATAATTTGGTTCTAAAAGATATATTGACCTTAGTAAACCTGGGATATGATTTTTGAATTTAACAGAATGGCTTAGCCCCTATCTTAAAATCTTGCACAGATGGTATGATTGTGTTAAGTGCTACTAATCTAACATTTAGTCTACATAACAAGTTGGCTGGTACAGTAGTAAACCACGTTATTCAAAAGAGAGGTCTGCAGTAAGTAAACAAATTATTAGATTTATTAATTACTTTTATAATTTTTATATTGTAATTTTATGTTTCAATCTATTATTAATTATATGCCATGGTAGTACAGATTAGAATTTTCATCAGGTAGAAGAATTTACTCTACTTGGGGTGGTTCTTTACAAGCATCAGTCCCACATCAACCACTTTTGTTTACACTTTTTTTTGTTCTTTACAAAGCAACTTTCTTTTTGTAAAGCTGCATTTTTTTTTTGCAAGAAGGCTATTATTTTGGGTATGAGAGTTGATATCAAAAAATGAACAGCCCCCTACAGGTTGAGAAGGCGCTACTTTAAAGACCTCTTCAACCTAGGAAAGTGAATACATAAGAAAGTATTGACAAATTACTTTTAAAGTAGAAGTTACTTAAAATTTTTTTAGAAATCGTCCAACTAATGCAGATATATTTGAATCAGCAAATGCCATTGTTGCACATTTTCCTTCAGAAAAGCTTGTAAGTAACTTTTAATTAAACCCCTTTTTTTTAAGTGCTTTTTATAATTGTTTTTTTTATAGGAAACATGGTATACTGCACCTACATTTAAAAAAAGTATAGCTGGTGGAAAGCTGACAGAAAAGCTTCGCAATACTTGGAGAAATATTAAATCGGTTGGGATTTTAAAAAGTTCAAATGATCAACAATTAGTTGAAGAACACGATAGCAGTGATGGTATGCTTTATCTTATATTAAATTATTTTAAATAGTAGTTTAAGTGATTTATGTGAAAGAAAGTTTAGAATATTTAGATATTATAAGATGATGAAATGATAAACATTTTATTTTTTATACATTTTTTATCTATTATATATATTTATAAAATTGTGAAGAATTTTTTGGTTCAATTTTTTTAAACATATTATAATTGATATAGAAGAAGCAGTACAAATGACCTTAATTGGCTAAAGTTTAACAGTCAACCATGGACTGAAGTGTGCCATAAATGGAAATTGACTTCTAAATTTAGGTTGAAAAGTTTTCAATCTGGTAGCAAAGATATTCCAAACTTTAAGCTTCTTTTGGATTTAAAAGCAGATGCATTGGTTAGTATATTAAATATATGTTATATAATGTAAAAATGTTTAACATAGGGAAAAAAATAGAATTAAGAGAAGAGTTTGTTATTTTTTATTAGGTAAATATCGATTTTACGCAATTAAGCATACAAAAGAATTATGTAGACTGTAACAACTTTATGTTTCAGAAAATTCCATTACTTGCAAAACAGTTATTAGGCTTAGTTGCCAAAAAACATTTAATAAAAATTGGTTAGATTTTTATTTAAAAATTATAATTATAGTTTGTGATTAACAATATAAGTATGCTTCCATATACCAATGACATAACAGGTTTTTCAGATATTATATTTTATATATATATTGTATATATATATATATATATATATATATATATATATATATTATATAGATATATATTATATATATATATATATATATATATATATATATATATATATATATATATATATATATATATATATATATATATACATACAATACAGAGGTAGAAGATGAGACAGCTGCTTTTTTGGCTATTGTGCGGTTGACATGCTGTAAACGTTCAATACGTTTGTCTGAAGACGCAAAAAGAAAGTCTTGGACTCCAAGTGTTAAAGAATGTGGCGAATCATTTCTTTTTCTAGCCAATGTATTTATAATAAACTATTAAAATTTTATATTTAAAAATATTAAGGGTGTTATAAAAATTACATTGTGTAATGAAAATTACATTGCGTTATAAAAATTACATTGCTTAATATTTGTTTTTTTTTCAGTCAGTTGAAGATGCTGAGCATTCAATAGAAAACATAAGAATTCTTTATAATGATCTGAAGCTCACACTTCAACCTTTAGTTTATGCTGTACCACCAAACATTGCTGTTGCTGTGTACAACAACCATAGATGGTCATTTCAAACGCCTTTGAAAGCCATGGATTTTTCTTTTAAACTGATTCAGGTGAGTCGAATATTGTTATTGATACAATGTTTGTTACATATTGCATGTTTGAATTTATATAAAATACTAGTATTTTAGCGAGTATTGCATATAGTTGCACTTTTAAAAAATTGTGCTGATTTTTTGCATTACTTTTTGCGAAGTTATTACAAAATTCATGCAAATAAACGCTCTTGTGCTAAAATAATCTTAAAACAATTGTAAATAAACAAGTATAATTACTCTACGTATGTGATAATTATTTTACAAAGTATAATTTACCATATGAAATTTTTTTGAGATTTGAAAAAGGTGAGGCAAAGTCTTATACCTGCAAACGCACTTTACAATGAGCCCTCATTATCAATTATTTTTCTTTAGGTCTTGAATAAGGAATATAATATTGCGAGTTTTCCAGCTTGGATGTTTTTACAGAAATACATATATTGTTTCAATTGCCCCGATTTTGATGTTTTGTGCCCGAAAGCAAGTGAATTAGCATCTGAGTTAAATCTAACTTCTTTTGATACATTTCAATCTTAATTTAGATAAAATAAAGCATTTATTTAAAACTATTTGTGTTTTTTTGTTTCGTTTTTTTTTTTAATTTAAAGCGTACATTAAAGTTCCATTTTTTCAAAACAAAAATGGAACTTTAATGTACGACAAAGACAAAATTTATTGTTATACTTTCCCAAATAAAATGAGGAAACTTTACTGGTATTTACCAAAAAACTTGGTTATCTTAACAAAAACATTTGGTGAATATTTATGCACCAAAAAAATTTTGTAAATTTTACCAAATAGATTTGGTGAAAAGCATTTCACAAAATCATTTGGTTAATTTTACAAAATCATTTGGTTAAGTTAACAAAATCGTATGGTTAAGGTTACAAAATCACGTGGTTAAATTTATAAAACTATTTTTACCAAATAATTTGGTAACTTTAACAAAAATATTTGGTGCATAAATATTCACCAAATGTTTTTGTTAAAATAACCAAACTTTTTGTTAAGTTCACAAAACGTTTTTTGCCGTCCATGACCTTTCATCCTTAGTAGTCATACTTTAAGGTGCTCAGCAATATCTTGACACTGGCAAAGTCCTATTTAAGGTGCATAGAGTGAGCTTATTGGAATAGATGGGTTGTTGTTTCCATTGTGAAGCAATACAAATTTAACACTCTTGGACCTATCTATACATAGGCATTACTATTATCTATATATGGAAACCTTGTCAATTGTAACCACCTAAAATAAACTACATATATCTAAATCTTTGAGTTTTACAAAATATAGCATATTACATATAAAATATAGCATAATATAGCATATCTACAAAATATAGTATATTTAAATCTTTGAGTTCTATAAAATATAGCACATCCAATCAAAAAGCAACTATTCAACTTTCCTTTAAAATGCCATTCAAATTAAATAATTTTTCTTCAAATACAATTAATTTTCTCTTCATTCACCAATAAAATGAACTCAAATGTATCACCTATGCTTTTTGAACTCAAATGTGTTGCCGTTGCTTTTTGAACTCAAATGTGTCACTTGTGCTTTTTGAACTTAAATGTGTCACTTGTGCTTTTTGAACTCAAATGTGTCACCTGTGCTTTTTAAACTCAAATGTGACACCTGTGGATATTGAACTCAAATGTGTCACCTGTGCTTTTTGAACATAAATATGTCACCTGTGCTTTTATACCTGTATAACTACTTTTGGACATTTTGAAAATGTTTCAGAAAGTTTTAGTAGTTTCTTGATAGAATATTGTGGAAAATTCTTACACCCTTGTTGAGAGGAAAATATACTCTCAACCCAAGGACAAAAAAATAATAAAAATTTGTACATTGAGTGATGTCCATTGTTTATATATAATTATAATCGGTGTCTATTGTTTAAAAAAAAAAAAAAAGTTTCGGGATGCACAATACGGAAATTGTTTTACATTTTTATTTAAATATTCAACTTATTAACAAAATTTATATAGCTGATGGATTAATTTTTGACATAAAATAGTAACATAATAATACTGGTAAATTATTTAATAACAAGAAAAATTTCTATTTAGAGTATATTTATAATACAAATTAACACATATACAGGCTAGGAAAAATTAACACAAAAAATCATAAAGAAACTTACAGTTATTGAGATGTTTTTTAGAATATCACCTAGTGAAAAAAGCACATATTATATATGTATATATGTATATATATATATATATATATATATATATATATATATATATATATATATATATATATATATATATATATATATATATATATATATATATATATATATACATATATATATATACATATATATATATATATATATATATATATATATATATATATATATATATATATATATATATATATATATATATATATATATATATATATATATATATATATATATGTATATCCTTATAGTGTAGCCGAAAGAGACTTTTATGGTAAAAAAAAGTCTCTTTCGACTACAATTTTTTTACCTTGTCTCTTAAGCTGCATTTTATTGTCGTCGAAATGTCAAAGCAATTAAATTAATGCGGAAGTACATTAAATTTTATTGTTTTTTAAAAAACCCGCAATAATAATGACTAGAAAGTTTTTTTTAATTAGTGGTGTTTTTGTTTTTGTTTTATTAAATAACATTTTTGAAACATGCGTAAGTGTTGCTACATCGACTATCTTATAGCCTGCTGCAACAAGGGAGTGCTGCTACATCGACTGACAAATAGCTTGACTCGCAAGGGAGTGCTGCTACATTGACTGACAAATAGCCTGACTCGCAAGAGAGTGCTGTTACATCGACTTAGGGTTTGGTTTGGGCAGGCAGTCTATCATTTAAAAAAATTTTTTTTTAAGTTTATTTAACATTTTCTGGTCAGATTTATTAACGCGCTCAACAACAGTTTATGGGAAAAACCATGCAAGACTATATATATATATATATATATATATATATATATATATATATATATATATATATATATATATATATATATATATATATATATATATATTTTAAAAAATGATTTATTTGTAGAACTTTTATTAAAAATTTAACAAGAGGTCTTTCATAGTTTCATCAGTAGTGCTATTATACAAAAAAAAATTTCATATTATAAAATGTGTATTTTTGTAAAAAAGAAATTAAGCTTATTTTGCCAAAAGTTAGCATTATTTTGTGTCTTTTTAAATAGGAATTGTTATTTAAAGGTATCATGTTTTTGTTTGCGAAAATTATTTTCATAAGATAATAAATTCATTTCATTTTTAAGTTCAAGAAAAAAAATTTGCAAGAAAAAAGGTTCCATAGTTTTGCTATTTACTCTTTGGCAATCATTAACCTGGTTATCAAATATGTCAGCTGATACGAGCAGGTAACCAAAATTATTCAATGACATCGCTAACTAGATGATTTGCAACAACTCTTGCTTCTTTTTTATGATCGTTTTCTCTCTCAAAAATATATTTTGCAATATTTAATAGCTCTATTCAATAGTAGCTTTCCTCCTTAAACGTTTTCTGAGGAAAAACCAACAATCCAATGATTAATACCAGAAGAGGGTCTGCTTTTTTCAGCAGAAATATTTTTGTTTACCAATAGCTGGAATATGTATTGAATCTAAAAAATGTTTTTTTCCTGATTACTTTCTCTTTTGCTTCAATAGATACATTATTTTCCAAACTTTTAATAGGTCTACCAACTTTCTTTAGTATGGAAGCCATTACTGTAGTTAAATACAAGACTGAAGTTTGTAATATAAACACTGTTAGTAACTGTTAGTATGTTTAGATATTACTAAATATATATATATATATATATATATATATATATATATATATATATATATATATATATATATATATATATATACATATATATATATATATATATATATATATATATATATAAATGTACAGTTACTATTATTTAGAAAATCCGAATCAATAGGCCACTCATCTTTAAATATAAAAATTGTTCAAAATATGAAACTTTTAGTATTTAGCGTTTTTAGATCAAATGTCATCACTGGTAAAAATCATGGTTAAAATTTCAAAAAAAAGTTCAAAATGGACCACCCTAATGCAACATCACTTGGCAACAATATAGAAGAATTTAGAGTTTTTGGTGAATCAAATAAAGTCAGTATAGCCGGAATCAAAAAAATATGGTATCAAAACTCATCCTTTGTACAGTTAGAAGGTCACACACCATACAAAAAAAAAAATATCTCGACAGGCAAAAATATGGTGCAGCTACCTTGTACATAAAGAGCAACCTTACATCATAAAAAAATAAATATCCAAAATCAAATAGAACAAATATGAGCCATCATTGTAATTAGTAATAACAAATACCTTAATGGATGTATATATAGACCAAATAAACTAATAGACATTAGTTTTAAACAAGTTATACATTATGCAAAACTAAAATAGATGTTAAAAAACTAAATTAGATGTTAAAATGTATGCAGATGTAGCATACTTGGAGATTTCAATTTTCCAAACATTAGCTGAAATAGTGGATATGTTGAGAACGTGAGTAGTAGAGAAAATTCAATGGAAAGCATATTCACAAATAAAATAAACAATGAATTCTTATTTCAGCATTCCAACTTTTAAACTGTAAGAAACAGTTAAAAAACACACTGGAATTGATATTTACCAATTATAGTAAAAGGGAAATAAGCTCCAATCACACATGGCTGTAAAAACAAAGAGCACTTAACATTGACATTTAAACTTAAATTAAACATAAACTAGACAATAAAAACACCAAAAAAAAAAAAAAAAAGTTAACTAAATCGACTGGAGCACAAATCAACAACACTTGAAATTACATGTTTTTACAATAACATTACATTACATAAAATGAGATACTTCTATTAAAAAAAAGGCATTTCATACAAAACATTAACAAAAAGTTAGAACATTAAAGAAGTATTAGTCAAAAAAGTCTAAAAAAAACTTGATAATAAAATCAAAATTAAATCTAAAACTTCTTTTTAAATATGTAAACAGTCAGAGGAATACTAAGCAATCAATTGAAGCCATTTTAAATACTAACATTACTGTAACAAATAATCAAAATGAGATCACAGATATTCTAAAAAACCAGTTTATATTCTAAAAAACCGGCCTTGTTCATCAAGGTTTGTGTTTCAGAGTTATAAAGTTGAGAGAGGTTTGTAACCATAATTAAAGTAGCCTTCTCGACTGGAGTGGCCTTCATAGCTTTGGGGAGGTGAATTGAAATATAAAAAAAAAAAACAAAAAAAAAACATACATATATAGAGAGAAATATAGTAGACTATACTTGACCACATATAGATAATTCTCTTTATTGTGCTCGCCATTTTCTCCCTCCTGACTCCATTCTCTATCTCTTATTCCTGTATGGAATACTGTTGTCATATTTGGGCTGGTTCTTCTAATGATTCTCTTTTTCTTCTAGACAAGGTCTAAAACCAAATTGTAAATGTAGCTGGAGCCTCTTTCACAGTTGTAAAGTCGCTTCTCTTTCTCTTTTCTACAAGTACTATCATTACCGCTGCTCAAAGGAGCTTTTATCTCTAGTTCCATCTGTCAAAACTCATTCTTGCTAAAATAATAAATAAAAAAAATTCTAAGTAATGCATAAAATTTATTTTATTTATTATTTAGTTATTATCTTAATGCAGGATAAAAATATTAAAATGCTATCAGTCAAAATAAAGCTAATGCCGATACTGGATCCGATTGTGCAAAAGGTGGCCGATTGAGTCACTGCCGATTAAGCCACTGCCAATTAATCGGTACATCACTAATATATTCTAATTTTATTCATTGAGAACTTCCTTGAAAGTACCTGCAAAACAACATCAATTCACCCCCACACAAACATATACAAATAATATAAAATAATTTTTTTTGCAATAAATATAAAGATTAAAAATGTTCATTGTGGAAAACATGAACTTACTATAAACCATAGAACCAGCATTCCTTCCTACTACAGAGAGACCATGTAACCCACCTAGAATCTAAACACCATTAAACCTTACAAAATATTTATCATAGTAGTTTTCAATTCAAATACATCAATTATCAACAATAACTTTACAAATAACAATACAAAAAATATCAACAATAACTTTAGAATTCTTAAAAAACTATTATTTAGTATTGATAAAAAATATTTATGTTAAAGCACCAAACATTTTTAATTATTTAAATTAACTAACTACAGCAATTGTTTTAAATAATTTAATGAGACAAATAAACTAAAGCATGTATATATATATATATATATAATATATATATATATATATATATATATATATATATATGTATATATATATATACATATATATATATATACATATATATATATATATATATATATATATATATATATATATATATATATATATATATATATATATATATATATATATATATATATATATATATATATATATATATATGTATATATATATATATATGTATATATATATACACATATATATATATATATATATATATATATACATATATATATATATATATATATATGTATATATATATATATATATATATATATATATATATATATATATATATATATTATATATATATATATATATATATATATATATATATATATATATGTATATATATTAATATACATATACGTGGTTGCCCTTGAGCCAATATATACTTTGTCTTTTTGAAAATTTCATCACCTTTAAAAAACTTGAAATCTTATTTTTAAAAGACCCAAATCTTTTTTTTAAATAAACTACTTCTACAAACTCAAGACTGTATTGTAAAAATAAAATAAAAAGATTGTCATATATTTATAAGACACTGTCTCATAATCAAGTAGATCCTCAATAAACCCAACAATGTGTTTTGCTTAAACCATTATAAATATACCTTGAGTTTATCATTTTTTTTTTTATTTTTTTTTAACATCTTCGCTTCCAACAAGACTGCAAGTAACCACTAATTAGTGTTGGAAGTTACTGGAAGAGAAAAGATGAAGATTGTAGAGCAAGATAACGGTTGACAGACGACCATTTACCAAAGTATATTAATATCAAAATTAATATCTTTATCAAGTAAAAGCTTTCTTTTCATCAACTTAACACTTTTTTTTTGTAGATCTGTCTACTAAAGATATTTGAAAAAGTCCCAGAGATCCTGTTTAAAAATGCTCAAAAAATATAATCTAGGATAGAGCTATGACAGCAAGGAAAAAATCTTTTTGTACGCATTGCATTGTAGAATGCATATGCTAAGAACGATTTCCATCAAGTAACTTTTCGTCATTTTAAGACAAAAGAAGTAATTAACTTCATAAAGAACCATTCTAACTTTTGAATGACAATTATGTAAAAAAGTTTGTTACGAAAGTTTGAATAACAATTAACAATTAAAGCATTTTTTTAACGTGAAAAGGTGAAAAATAGATGAAAGAGAAAGAAGATATAAGATAAGAAAAGCATATAAAATTTGTTTAGAATAGAATATTTAAAAAAAAAGAAAGTAAAAAGCAATGAAAATATCAAAGAATGAAAACATTAAATAAACAGAAGAACTAAACACAAAGTTAAAAGAATAAAAATGTTTGTAATAAATTCAAAAAGGAAACAAATAAATTCAAACAGGAAATTATTCTAAATATTAACAACCTTGAGTGAGAAAGAGTATTTACAGACATCAAGTTTACATTTTAGTTTGCCTAATTCGAAATTATGTCTTCAAGTGTAAATATGGTTGTTAAATAAAAAGAAACTTGATTTATTTAGGCAAACTAAATTGTTCAGAATTTTGTAACATGTAATCATGTCTTGCTTTAGGAGACGAATTTCTAGTAGTTCCAAACAAAGAATTAAAAGTCTATTTGAATATCAAAAGTTATTTAGGTTAGCAATTCTTTTTTATCAAAAATATTTATGTTTATCAAAATTAAATATTTTTTATATTAAATAAGTTTATAAAATTAATGTTAAAATAAAGTTAATGTTTGGATTTATTAAAGTAAATTAAAGTTAATGTTTAACTGCCTAATTTATTATAAAATATTATTTAATATTGTTCAATATTTAAATTTTACTTATTCTTTAAAAAAAATTTGCTTATTTTTATAGAAATTGTTTTTTTTGTTTTCTTTCCTAAACATTTTTTTTTTTACTCAAAATTAAAAATAATATTTGCTTTCACAACAAAACCTCTAATAAAATAATAAAAAAGTTTTTATTTGTTATTTGCTAAATTTTTTAAAATAAAAAATCATTTTTAGTTGCAAATTTATTTAAAATAAAATTATTATTTAAAAAATAATCATTTAAAAAATTTAACATATTTTAACTCATTTATACATATGTCAAGAAAAACAATTTGTTTATATAAAAAAAATTTTAAATATTAAATTTAATTATTTAATATAAAAAAAAAAAATGAAAGAGAATAAGCATTTCCTAATCTTTTATCTTCTATAAATATTAATAACTTAATGCTTCCAAGTGAATGCTCACCATTTGTGCGCATTTTTTACACAGAGTTTTATGAGCATGCTTGGCCTTTTAGATACTTCTCTTTTTGACCACGCGATGAGGTACTCTTGAATATGTTAATATCTGTTTAATCATTAATAAGATAGAAAACTTTGCTTCATCAACTTAAATAGTAATAAGTAATAATTAGTAATAATTTTAATTTTTTAATTAAAAGACGATGGTGACTCTAAAAGACGATGCTATTTTCAAGAGGTCAAACTCTTGATAAAGTTAGTGTTAAATACATTAAATACCTTAACAACGTTAAATACCCTACCTTTAAAGAAGTTAAAAAAAACCTGTTTGTTTTTATATTAAAAAAACAGATCGTTTGTTTTTCCAAGTCGTTAAACATTTATTATACGAGGTATGTTATTAAACAAAAATAAGGTTGTATTTGTAAAGTTTCTAAATTATATATTTTTCTTAATTTATATAATTTTTTATATAGACTAATTTATATTTATGTGTTATTTATGTTTATGTGTTTAGGTTATATGGGTTTATATTTTGTAAATGTGGAAATATCATTTATGTGTTTGTAAATATCTTTTCAAATTGTTGTGACTTGGTTTAGTTTACAGCAAGAGTGTTGATTTTGCTAGCTAAGTAGTGTACTTTGCTATAGTGTGACTTGGCTTTGTTGGGAGCAAGATTGTTGTCCACGCCAGTTAAGTGGTGTATTGTTATGATAAAATACATAAATTAAATCTGTTTGTAGTTAGTGTAGTCATAAAAAGTGTTTAAAAAAAATTATTGAAAGAATGTATTTATAAGAAATGTTGAAAGATATATAGTTTTTTAATATATCTATAATAATTTTTTTAATATTTTTAAATTTTGAGTAACTTTTATTGAACAGATATTATATTTCATTAAATAATTTTTATACTGTTACTTTTTGAGAAAATTTGTTTAAAAGATATATACTTATATATATATATATATATATATATATATATATATATATATATATATATATATATATATATATATATATATATATATATATATATATATATACACACACACATATATATATATATATATATATGACTGACTTGATTATGGCCTACCTAAAGCCTAATAATAATGAAATGTTTCAATTTAAATTGTTTTTTAAGTATTTTTGTTACATTTTGTTAAATATAATATTTTTTTTGTAATTTTTTTTAAAGTTTATATTTTTATTTTATCTCAAGAAAATTATGTTTTTTGTTTCTTAAGTAGATATCTATATTTTTTTATTTTAGATTTATTGTTTCAAATGGATATATTGATCATTTTTGCATTGTTTTTTATATTTTTGATGCTTTTTATATGTATGAATAGAAAACAATTAATACTTAAAATCATATTTTGTACTTAAAGTTTCCATTTGCATAAAGTATTGATTAGCACAAACAATATGTTTAGCACTATTGCATTACTACACATTAGCACTATAGCAATATTGATTAGCACAAACAATATGTTTAATAATTTCGGATGTAAAAACAGCTTAATTGAATGAATTTGTTAACAGTTTTGTTTTTTACAGAAGCGTTTTTATAAAAAGTATCAAACGGATAAAGCTAACTTATTTAAAATAACAAGTCTCTTTCGCCCGTTTTCTGATGTCCAAATTTATTTTTTAAGTAAATCTTGATGATTTTCTGGTAGATGGTAAATTGCGAACTTTAATTGTAATTGCAATTAAAATTCGTATTTTACCATCTACCAGAACTTTAAATTGATTTTTTTTTTTGCTGTTTATTAAATAAATTAAAGTATAAAGACTAAGGAACAAGTTTAAAAATCGTCGGGTGTGGATTAGACTTGGCACAACCCGTATCGTACGGGTCATACCAGCTAGTAGTAATAATAATCTTTAAAAAAAAAAGAGAGTTTTATGACATCAAATTCCCATTATTTGGCTCATGGCTTATTTGTTGATGGATTTTTTATTTAAATTAAGGCCTGATATATATATATATATATATAAATATATATATATATATATATATATATATATATATATATATATATATATATATATATATATATATATATATAAATATATATATATATATATATATATATATATATATATATATATATATATATAACAATTATAATAATAAAAATGAAATCAAAAATAACAATACCTAAATACTATTATTCCTAAACATGATAAGTTATTTACAATGCAATAGTTTTTTGTCTATTTTGAAAGCACCAATTCACATAATTTTAAAAAAATGATTTGCATTTTTAATTTTAAAAAATTTACAAAAACTTCATATTTTCACAATCATAATCTTTGAAACAATTTATAAAAGTGTTTTTATAAAGTCTACGTTTTTTACAACTGATGGGTTGTATATAATTTTTTATGTCTACTTGTTTAACTTTTTATTAATTGATACAAATTACATTTGACATCCATATCTTGCTAGTAACAATAATAATAAACTAACATAATTAATAAATTAACAAAATAATATTTACTAACATTAACAGCTACAATAATAATATTATTAGTAACAAAAGTGAATCAAAAAACCATAATTATTTTAAAACAATCTCTAAAAATTAACTGACTTTATCAATGTATATTATAGCGCTTGTATTTTCAGTTGCCATTCCTGTAAAGGAAAGTTACCAATTTAGAATAGGAAATATAAAAAATATAGAAAATTTAAAATAGAAACAAAAATGCACCATGATCAGAAACTACAATTATATTTAAATTTTCTGTCAATTTATTTGATTTTAATTTTTCAAGAAGAATCCCAAAATATTCATCAGTTTTCTTTATCGCAGAATTTACCTAAAATATAAAGGAAATAATTTATATTCTTTTTAAATTCTGTATGGAAAAAATGTTTGTGATTAAAAAACAAAACAAAATACCTCTTCTGAATCAGGTCCGTAACTATGCCCTGCACTATCTGGTTCTTCAAAATATAATAAAGTCATAGAAGGTCTATGAAAATAAATAAAACTTAAAATTTTATTTTAATAATAAAACATAAAATAATTTAATAAATTCATATAAATTATAAACATAAAAAGTAATTTAATAAACTTATGTATATTAGGTTAAAAATAATTTATTATGTTAAGTATAATAACATAAAACAGAGCTTATGACAAAGCTGAAGTAATTGCACCACTTATGCCAAACATGTGCATACACACAAAATATTTTAAAATTTCAGATGCAATAAACAGCGCTCATTAACCTTGTAACAAGTGTATAAAACTGTGCTTGCCATTAACCTTATAATGAGTGTATAACATCCTGCTCGTCATTAACCTTGTAATTAGTGTATAAAATCCTGCCCGCCATTAACCTTGTAACGAGTGTATAAAATCCTGCTTGCCATTAACCCTGCAACAAATGTATAAAATCCTACTTGCCATTAACCCTGTAACAAATGTATAAAACCCTGCTTGCCATTTCCCACCTTCCAGAGACTTTAGAAAGAATAAAATAAAAAATTGTTTAAAATGATTTTAAATTAAATATTTTTGATAAGTTTTTGTTAAAGATAAAACTTGTTAAATTAAATGGTAAAGTTTGCATTTTGTTAATGGAATGGAAAGTTATGAAGTCATTATTGCTGACTTTTAGAAAGAAATATTATCTATTTTCAAAATTTGCTGTAAAATAAATAAGAATACAAAAATTAAAACTTGAGAAAATATTAAATAGTAACATTAAAAAAAATGTCATGATTTCTGGAAATATAAGATTTTTCTTTAATTAAAGCACTTTGGTGCTTTTACGTAATATTCCACACATTGTTTGTAATTGAAATAAATAATCATAAAAAAAAAAGTTAATAAGAATCATCAATTAATTTATAAAAATTTATAACAATTATCAAAAAATCAATTTATAAATTTTTTTGGATAAAACCAGATGTTTTTAGCACCTTAACTATCATATTATCTGATTATTGGTCATCATTAGGGGTGTATCAGATTTGCTGTAATTAATAAAAAAATTCCAGCAGAAATTCCGGCCAGAACAAGAATTATATTTATGTAATTTTTTACCTTCAATATTGAAAGTGAAAGCCTGCACAGCAGCATCTTGGCTATATAATATATATTTATAACCTATAATATACATAAAAACTATTTCATTCATTTGATTCTTGTTTCATTTAAATCTAACATGTTGTTTTTATTTGTTACTTATAATTTTATTTATTGAAAGTTTTATTCTTTTTGTCTTTTGTTTAAAAATTTATTATCAAGTTTTAAACTCTATTTATATATACAATTATTTCTTTGTTTTTTTTATATATATATGATATACTAGGCATCCTAAATTTTATAACTTTTCAAAACTTAAATAACATATAAAATTAGACTATTCTCAGAGGCAGGTAACATTTTTGATAAAAAAAGAGCTCATTTGTTGACCAAAACTGGATAGCAACTCTTGGCACCACAATATTCCTAAACTTCCAGAAATCCTTACATAATTGATTATTGCAAATAAATTATGTTGTTTTTGTTTAGAAATTTGTATTTTTTACCTAGGTTTACCTATAGTTTTTATTTTTCCTGTAGGACAATGGTTTTTTGATTTAATTTACACAGTCTGTGTCACATGTCTTACAAAAAAAGGTAAAAAATAAATTCATTTGGAATCAAAATATTACGGCATTCCGTAATATTTTAATTCTGGCTGGAACCAGAATGACCTAAATATCACAAATTCTGGCCGGAACAGAATTCTGATACATCCCTAGTCATCATCTATTTTTGATGCTAATAATCACTCTCAAGGATATTATGATAAGTGTGAGTAACCATGCTGAAAATATTTTTATTTCATGAGGAAAACATATTTTAATTATATGAGGATAAAATGCCAGACAATTTTCTTTATCATAAGCTCTAATATAATTAAATTAATAAGAAATAATTCTTTTTGATTATAACAAAGTTTAGTTAAAATTTATTTTACCTTGATTTATCATCGAGCTTTAACCAAGAAACCACTTGATCAATTCTTTCCAAAAATGGTACTGAACTTAGGAAAAAAACTAATTTTTTATACTTTTATAGTTTTGACATTTTTTGCAAACAGTTGAATTTTGATATGTTATAACAATTGAATTTCCTAATGTTTGTAGTTTTAATTAGTAATTGTAATAAGTAAACTATATGTTGTTAAGTTACTAAGAAATATAAACAATAATTAAAGAGAAAGAAAATGATTAACAGCAGACTATAAAGTTGAAATTTATTTTAAGAAAACAAAATTCAAAATTACAATGCACTAGTTTTTGTAAAGTCAATGATTTAGAGTTTCATTTTCTAAATAGTGTTTCTAATTGTGTTTCTAGATTGTGTTCTAACCCTAAGACAAAGCCCAAACACAATAACAGTACTCCATACAATGACTGTTGTATAATCTGAGAAAACTGAATTTGTAAAGCTAAAAACACTGTCTAATCATAAGAATCACAAACAACAAAAAAGAAATTTTTAATGTTTGTTTATTTTAATTATATATTTCAGTTCATTTATTACAAATTTTAAAATAGTAAAAAATAAATGATAAACTTGAAAATATTTCATTTATTTATTGGTATTTTGTTTGTTTTTGAATATGATACCAATTAAAATGGAAAATAAGAACTTGTCTAAAAACAGTCTTTGTATAAATAAATTAATACTGTCAATAAAGTAAATCGCTATATTACTATATTTTAAATAAAATACTAACTTACTTGATACTGTCAATAAAATTTAATAGAAAAAACATCAAAAAGAAGATATTTAAATTACCGGTTGTACATCTTCCAGTAATTTGGTCTTTTTTCTATAAAAAGAAAACAATAATTTGACTAATTTAATAAAGTAGAGTATATAAAAAGTTTATGTAAAAATGACACTTTTATATGTAAAATATAACGCATTGTTACATGCTCAATGTACATGTTAAAATAACACTTCCAGATTAGTTCCGAAATGTTTAGACATTTTGAGAACTAATCTGGAAGATTATGACAGATATGTTTCTTAATTATTGCTCTTACGTTGCTCAAGAAAAAAAAATATATACGTATATGTGTGTATATATATATATATATATATATATATATATGCATATATATATATATATATATATATATATATATATATATATATATATATATTCATATATATATATATATATATATATATATATATATATATATATATATATATATATATTCATATATATATATATATATATATATAAATATGCATATATATATATATATGCATATATATATATATATATATACATATATATATATATATATATATATATATATATATATATATATATATATATATATATATATATATATATTCATATATATATATATATATATATATATATATATGCATATATATATATATATATATATATATATATATATATATATATATATATATATATATATATATATATATATATATATATATATATATGCATATATATATATATATATATATATATATATATATATGCATATATATATATATATATATATATATATATATATATATTTCTTTTATTAATTTAAATGTTAATTTAATCAGTTTTGTTTGATAATATATTCTTAAAACAATTTACAATAGAAATCTCAAAGATTTATTTATTACTTTTACAACTCAAGCAATACATTTTTAAGAAAGTTTCTCCAGAAAATTATGGAACTCTAATTCGCTTATTCAGCGTATTTTTTGAACCCATAGAATTTGTTTACTTGTAGATTTGGCGGTATTTTAGTGTTAGCAAATATTCTTTATATTATCTTTACACAACAAGTTGTTTTGATAACATTCAAGTTTATCTTCAAGTTTCCATCTATGTCCGCATAACAATAAGTTTTTAAAATACACGCTAAAAAAATTTACTTCATAACATCTCATTTTTCCAAATCAAATGTTTTTATATGAGGGAATGATTTTAAAACATTCGCTGATATTAAAACATTTAAACTATACTTGTACATTATTCCTACCTTTTTTAATTATATAATTAAAAAGGTATAATATATATATCTTTTTCCATGTTTTGTTATAAATATATAATATAGGACTGTATTCACTGTCTTGAAAATGTACACTTTAACATTAATTTTAAAAAAATTAGTTTAAAACGTTACGCTCGTTGAAATTTAGAAGATCCTGTATTCAGAAAGCGCCACTAATTTACCAAATAGTCGGTTAACTGCAAATTGATGAGAACTGTTATCCGGTTTTTGAAATGGATAACCGACGAAATCACTATATATATTCATATATATATATATATATATATATATATATATATATATATATATATATATATATATATATATATATATATATATATATATATATATATATATATATTCATATATATATATATATATACATATATATATATATATACATATATATATATATATATATATATATATATATATATATATATATATATATGTATATATATATTTATATATATATATATATATATATATATATATATATATTCATATATATATATATATATATATATATATATATATATACATATATATATATATTCATATATATATATATATATACATATATATATATATATATATATATATATATATATAATATATATATATATATATATATATATATATATATATATATATATATATATATATTCATATATATATATATACATATATATATATATATATATATATATATATATATATATATATATATATATATATATATATATATATTCATATATATATATATATATATATATATATATATATATATATATATATATATATATATGTATATTCATATATATATATATATATATATATATATATATATATATATATATATATATTCATATATATATATATACATATATATGTATATATATATATATATATATATATATATATATATATTCATATATATATATATATATATATATATATATATATATATATATATATATATATATATATATATATATATATATATATATATATATATATATATATATATATATATATATATATGCTGCAAGCTAACCACTTTGGCCATTTAAGTTTATTGTATGAAAATGTATTTAATAAACAAACAACTATAAAAAGCGGCAAACAAATGCTATAAATCAAAGTTAAGGAGATAATGCTGCAATGCAATTTTCAAGTAAAAGTTAAACTGTAAAACTTGATTGATGTTTTAGCATTACATAATTTGAAGTTTAAATATTTTAGATATTTGCATATTGTTTACATTTTCTTATAAGTTCTACACCTATTTTTGCCATTACCTTGGTTGCAATGGCTGCCAAGAGTTCCATGTTAAACACACTCAAAAGGGACTACTACTACTATTATTAAGTTTAGAATTAATGTAAAGAGATATCAAATTATATACCTCCCTTGCCAAATTCCCAGCTTCAATCAAGTATTAATCCTAGCCATTTACTAATTCTGTTAACTTTTATTATCAAACAGTTAGTGGACAGTTATCAACTGCATGTAAAAAAATGACAAAAAAAAAAAAATTAGTAATAATGTAAAATAGTATATTAATATAAAATATAATAATATTTTAAAAAATGGTAACAGTATAAAGCATTATTTAAAAAAATGTTAATAATATTTTTTGTTTTGTTTTGTTTTTGGAAAAGACTTTTTAAGTTACTGTATAAATTTTTTTTTTTTAGTCTTTAGTTTAAAAACTTATTACCAATTTTTATCAAAATCTAATTTTTTTATTTTTATTTAAAGTTTAGTTTGCAAACCTTATTTAATGCTTTGGTAACTTTTTGTAACGTCATTTTGTGTTTTAACTACATTGTCAGTAATAACTTTCATTATTAAAGAAGATATTAAAGGAGAAAATATATCAATGTTCATTTAGTTAATTATTTCTGACTTTTTGTAAGACTAAACATTGACATTTAGTGGTTTTAAAATCAACTTAACTAAATAAATTAAAATCATTAAAACAGTTAGAAAAATTGAATGTAAAAAAACTTAAATTACCTTTTATTTGATATATATTTTTTTAAATTAATAAACACTTTTGCTAATAAAACTTTTTTTTTATGAAATTTCAACTAACAATGTAAGTTCTACTACCAAAAAATGATTTTTTAAAAATATTTTAAATACCTTCACTTTCAACATCTGATCCTGGCCAGAAAAATGCAGCAGACTTATAACCTTGTTTCTTTGCAGTAACCCATATCTAAATATATTTTGATATAACTCTCATGAATTAAGAAATATTGAGCATAATGGCTGCTGGACTCAAACTGCTTTGTTTGTTTTTTTTTTGTACTAATTAAAGATAGAAAAATGAGTTCTAAAATAAAAAGTATGAGTTTTGCACACAAAATTTATATAAATTAAGCATGTAAATTAAGATATTACTAACAATAATATCTTAATACTGTTTATTTTTCAAAAAAACCTAATGTAAAAAGTCTGTGTTATATCCAACTATATCCAAAACAAAATAACTCATTCATTTATGAAATATTAAACAAGTAAAAGAGAAAAACCTTACTACATTCTCTTCATTTCAATTATAGTGCAACTTTTATTTTTATTCAAGGAACTCTCTCAAAGTTTGTTTAGAAAAAAACAATCCGGAAAGGGTTGTAAAAAAAGTTCTTTAAGTGAACAAGCTTGTTTAGCATTGACTATAAAATTTTTGCAAAAGTTTTAAGCAAAAAATAAATAATAAGCATTTACCGGCTCACCATTCCACCATTTTGGATTCTCTTTAAATTTTGAACCAAGAAAAAATGTTTCATTGAATACCTTATCATAAAATGTGTTTTCCACAATACCATGTGATTCTGGATATAAACCCTATTATTCAATAGGCATACATAAAGATTAGACAGGAAAACCCACATAGTCAGATTTCAAAAGTTTTAAGAAAGTATACATAAAAAAATTATATATACATATATATATATATATATATATATATATATATATATATATATATATATATATATATATATATATATATATATATATATATATATATATATATATATATATATATACTCATATAGTGTCGCTTTAAGAGCATTTTAATGTAAAAAAAGTCTCTTACGACTACAATTTTAATTACCTCGT